AGCATTATTTTAAAGGAAAGAAGAAGTCTAGCGCCAAAACAATACAGCATTATTTCAAAGAAAAGAAGTCTAGCGTCAAACAATACAGCCTTATTCTAAAGGAAAGAAGTCTAGCGCCGAAACAACACAGCTATACTTTAAATGAAAAAAGGTCTAGCCACAAAACAATACAGCTTTATTTTAAATGAAAGAAATCTAGCGCCAAAACAACACAGCTTTATTTTAAATGAAAGAAGACTAGCGCCAAACCAATACAGCCTTATTTTAAAGGAAAGAAGTCTACCGCGAAAAGAATACAGCTATATTTTAGAGGAAAGAAGACTAGCGCCAAAACAATACAGCTTTATTTCAAAGAAAAGAAGTCTAGCGCCAAAACAATACAGTTTTATTTTAAAGGAATACAGCTTTATTTTAAATGAAAGAAGTATAGCGCAAAAACAATACAGCTTTATTTTAAATGTATGAAGTCTAGCGCCAAAACAATACAGTTTTATATTAAAGGACAGAAGTCCTGCTCCAAAACAAGTCAGCTTTCCTTTAAATGAAATAAAATTAAGTGTAACTCCCTTCTGTTCGACCACCACTTGGCTACCGCAGACGGGATTGTTCTAGTATCCCTGAAAACAAATCAACACCAAAAATCCAATAAAATCGGCCATTAATATAAACCAAACTCGAGCCTTTTTAATATTAAATATTACTTGAAATATTCATTAAAGTTTTAATAAACTGAATTCTAGCTAGGTATTAAATTTAACTTGAAATATTCATTAAATGTCTAATGAACTGAATTCAACCTAGGTATCAAATTTAACTTGAAATATTCATTAAATGTCTAATGAACTGAATTCTACCTAGGTATTAAATTTCCACACAGATCATGTTATGTAAAATATTGGATTTAACATCATTTTAATGATCACCCGAAACTGGAACTGTACATCTCATATGTAAAGAAGCAGTAGGACGTTAAACCCCATTTCATTCACATCATCTGACAGAACCTGGAACCTGATTGGTGTGTTCTGAAACTGGAACTGAATATATGATATGTGTTGTGGAATCTGATTGGTCTAATGTTAATTGGGGGTCGATCCGTACAGTGTTTAAGTAATTGCATCCCGGATTTGCATCTCATACTTTGAACAGAATGTATAGTAAAACATCTCTGATAGTTTTCCTCTTGATTCTCGGCTTAGGTTGCCCAGTGATTAATTCTCATGTTTTTATTGGAGAGAGTGACGGCGCTGATCAAACATGGGAAACAACTGGTGACATTAGAGGTGAAGAGTATGTCACTGTGAGGGACGAAGATGCAGAAAGCCATGATATTGACAGTCACATGACCCACGTGCACCAAATGTCGAAAGCTGTACAAAAACTGGCTTCACAGGACACCCAAAGCGATGACAGTGGATATGGTGAGAAAAACGACGATTACATGTCCCACGAGGGATCTTTACTTAATATATGGCCTCACCAACCAATCATGATACCCACACTCAATACGGGCTCAGATAACTCCCCAGGCGGATATGTGTCCCAAATCAAGATAGCAACACCAATAATGGCTTCACATTACACCCAAAGCGATGACAATGGTGAGAAAAACGACGATTACATGTCCCACGAGGAATTATGGCCTCACCAACCAATCATGATACCCGCATTCAATACCGGTTCGGAGAACACCCAAGTCGGATCTATGCAAGAGGAGATTCGGAAGTTACCCGATGATTACGTGTCCCACGCGGGATCTTTCTTTAATATAGTGCCCAACCATGGGGTTCTGATAGCTTCACACGATACCTTTGGAAGACCCACGTCACAGAACAATGGAAATATTATGCCACGCTTACTGGAAGCCTTGGTCAAGTTTTACAATTATGACGAACTGAGCACTGACAGCCCGAAAACCGCACAGGATATAGATGTCGAAAAACCAGAAACGAAATTTGTGCTTTTGCAGTACCATGGAGTGTACATTGTTGTGATCATAATTAGCACCGTCTCTGCTATCGCACTCTCCATCGTTTTGTACAAGACCACGAGAACAGTACGCGCCGTACCTGGAAACAGAACAGCACATGTTGGGAGAACAATGACGAGCAAACCACCAAAAGAGGAGAATCACTACGCAGAATTCCCAAACAAAATCACAGCTTAATGTTTCAGGGAAAATAAACTCGGTACCTGAATTAATCTGTATTTTTCGTCAATCAGAGATTCATGGTTACTCTACCGATGAACATTTAAAGCCGCTAATCGTCATGTTGCGGAATGTGTTCCCTTTTCATGACTTAATCGACGTTAACATGTTCAAAAAATTTATTATTAAACATTTAATTAATGATGCATTGTTCAACAGACTAAATCTGCCCAATGCAGATCTTTCGTTCGGCCTCAAATGTTATATAAATCATTAATTAGACATTTATTCACATCCTAAGCCCACAAGCAACTCTCTAGACCATCGGATGGTGCGGATGTAAACGGATTAAAATACAATTGGCAGTTAAAAACGTAAATTATAAATGGATATCGAGACTTTGTTTATTATCGTAACAACGGTAGCAATGACAACCGAGGTTACACTGTTCTGCAAACGGCGATAACAGAAATTTGCAACATATTGCCTTGTTATTATCTATTTTTGAACTATTATTTTGAGAAATCTATGAGCAGACAGTAGAAATGTTCGATACAAATAATTGAACTTTTCACGACTGATCCCGACTGTGACCACAAGCACTTGAAGGGATTAAAATAAAACTTCTTACTACTGTTTGACTAGTATTACTAATAACATAAAGAGAATCACCCACCATATTGTTTTGAATCGTTGACCTCAATATATGATTACCTCAATTACTCCACGATTAAAACCACATTTCAATCGTAGCGCTAATCGTGATAGTGGGAACCAAGAATTTATCTAAACCTTACCTAATGCATCTATATATCCACAACAGATAATATCACAGCCTTGATTTAATCGGATTAAAAGGAGAACAATCAAAAGATTTTAACCAAAACATTTTGATGTTTCTGGATTGTTTACATTGTCTACAGAGGATGCCAAATTTTGTAAATACGTTGGGAATTGGGCCTTGTTTCTCGAAATCTTAACTAAAGATAAAATCCAAATTTTAGTAGATACTTCAATCTAATATTGTTCAATCAAATTAATAAAATTTGGATTTGATCGTAGTTAAAATTTTGTGAAACAGGCCCCTGATCAATTTGGGGACTGTTATCTTATTTAAAGATACCACTGTCGTTATATTGTAGTTTACAAGGACTTCAAATTCTCCTCAAATGACGATTAGCGGATTTAAATAGAATATTTTAAATCAAATACTTGCCGTATAAAGCTCGTCTCGCGTGCGGAAGCACAGTTGTGCTGTTTTTCTTAGAACAGTAATGTATATTGTTTTTCCTAGAAGAGTCGTGTATTGTTTTTCGTAGAAGAGTTGTGTTTTGATTTTCTTAGAACAGTAATGTATATTGTTTTTTCGTGGAAGAATCGTGTATTGTTTTTCCTAGAAGAGTCGTGTATTGTTTTTCTTAGAACATTTTGTCTTTTTGATATTTTTATTTGTTCTCTTGGTCAGATTTATGTTTAATCCGACACAATTGTCTGTTATTGTTTTTCGTAGAAGAGTTGTGTTTTGATTTTCTTAGAACAGTAATGTATATTGTTTTTCGTGGAAGAATCGTGTATTGTTTTTCCTAGAAGAGTCGTGTATTGTTTTTCTTAGAACATTTTGTCTTTTTGATATTTTTATTTGTTCTCTTGGTCAGATTTATGTTTAATCCGACACAATTGTCTGTTATGTGAAAGTTTACTGTTTCTTATGGTCATGAAAAAATGGGCCAAATTTAAGATAATGCCACACAAGTTAAACATACATTATGCAAGAGCTAAATCTTTTCTTCAATTGCAGGTCTTTCTTTAGGCCAGAAATGTTATCTAAATTATTAATTAGACATTAATTAACTTATCCAGACCATCACCAACTCTTGATGCCATCGCTAACCTGCGATATTTACTGGATTATAATCCGATCTGCTGCTCAACGCTCATTCATGATTCAATCAAAAAATGGTAAATCGAGACTATGTTTTTTTCGTACCGACTTTAATAATGATGATCGAGGCTAGGCCCAAAATTCAAGCGCTAAATCCTCTGTTCAGAGTGGATCAATTTGACTGGAACTTTCAGCAAATTCCCTTTACATTATCTGTTTTTTACCTATCATAGTGAGAACTGCCAGCTCTTTATCTAATCTGCCATAATGCATCTTTAATTATTATAGATAGTCCACTACTGATCTGCTGTAACGACTTCACATCATTGCTTAGCGTCGTGCCCTGTGATGCGATTTCAAAAGTCGATCAATCATGCCTATATAAACATGATTACCAAACACTCAGAATGTCAGTAGACTTACGAGTATCCACCATTGTTCAAAATGTTCACATCCTATAGCCTACTTTTCCTCTATTGACACATGTCAAAGGATCTTTTACGTGCAAGTACGATACCAATTCCTGGCAGGTCAGCCCCCGAGTTCACAAAGCATTCTCAGACTTAGTTAAGAATTTACTCAAAATTGCTCCCCTTATTTTATTCAAAATATAGCTCATTATAAAACTTTTGTTGTTTTAATGTATCAAATACATCAATAAGATACTATGTGCAAAGTTTTGTGTTTCTGGATCAAAGATATTTCTCATAAACAGTGATTGAAAGTTGAGTAAATTCTTAACTTAAGTCTGAGAATCCTTTGGGAACCCGGGGTCTGGAGTTCCAGACATAGGAAAAAAAAACGCAATTCTCATATTATATTACAGGAGGTTTATAAATAACTCATAGGAAAAAAACCCTCAATTCTCATATTATATTACCGGAGGTTTATAAATAACTTATGGGCGTGGCAGTGTGGGATGGGGGATGGGGCTGTCTTTTAATAAATATAAAAACATGGAGTTTTGCATGAATTATTATGTTTATTTATGCTGATAATATTCGGTTGGTTTTTATATTATCCTGATGAATATTACCACCTGTCACCCAATATTCGTCACACAGGATGACCATCTAGGAGCTGAAACAAGATCATCATAAAGTTAGGTCGTGATTACGGTATATACCAGGTCTAGACTTAAAATGGCGTCTGAATCAAGTTAGATTTATATTTTCTATACTTGCAATGACTAAACTTCTACTTGCAATGTGGTACTTGAGGTGGCAAACAACAAATATTATACAACGGATATTTTCAAGTCCAAATCTGGTATTTACGGTAAATACGACATATTTATTCATATTATAAAGCCAGCACCCCTCTCATGTCAGTTAAAGACTAAAGATATGTTGGTACTCGAGATGGCAAACAGAACAAATATGATATAACGGATATTTACGGTAAATACGACCTGTATATTTATTCATATTATAAAGCCAATGCCCCTCTCATGCTAGCCATAGTTATCGAATAGGAGAGCGAAATTAAATGGGGTATAATGTCGAACTGCTCTGCACCAATAGAACTAATGAAAACGGGCTTACCGCCATGCTAGGCGCCACGAGGGAAACTTTGTTTCTGAAATCCGCGCCATAAGGCTTATCGTTATTTCTATTTCCTTCAGGGAATGCTTTAAGGCGCTGGCACTGGTTTACACTTAATCTATGGGATGACGTATTATGGACACTGGGAAATAAATCACTGCCAACATTGGCCTTGGGTCCACACAAAAACAAAATGTAGGTTTTCCTCTGTTATCTTCAATGACAATTTGATAACTATGGAGGGGATTATTGAGGATTTAATAGTTAATCAACAATCTAACCTATTGCAGCATTTAGTACAGACATCACAGACGGTGGATTCTTTCAATCGTCTTGGTTCGTAAGATACAGTAGTAGATTTAGCTGGAATAAACAGACATCGGGATATAGTAAAAAAAACAGTTAATGATTGGTACAGCGTGGTTTGGGGCGGAACGATTCACACCAGTCCACATTTTTAGAAGTCCACATTTCTGGTAATCGGGAGGTGTTCTGGCGCAGGTTCGTTATTTAGTCGATGTTCCGATTACAGCTTGTACGTGATAATGAGTAGGCTCCCCTGCCTAACCCCGAGGAATGAAGGACAGATTGTCCGGTTGGGTGACGTATAACGGTTCTAGGTTTATTAGGGTTGGTGCTAAATGATAAGGCCTGCTCACATTTTCGTCATAGGTCACGAGATGTAAACAGAGCTAGTGCTAATCCCAACACTAATCGTAACACTAGACCTAGCCCCAATGCTTACCCTAACTCTAACCTACAACCTCGCCAACAATGACGTGCCCTAACCTTGTTTACATCTCAGCGACCTTGACAGGGGTGCGTCGTAGAGGGATCGCAGGCTAATTAGTCTGCTCGAGAAAATCAGTAGGCCGATAAGTCATGTTTGCTACCAGAGAACCACAACCATTATTAAATCCAAGAAATGTTTAACTAACAAAATACACAACTACTGTAAGTGGTTTACAACGTTCCATAAAGATATCTTGAACGATTTTTAAGATAAGCTACAGAAACAAAGACAAAAGAGCGGACGGGGCACACTTCTAAATTGTGACCTGTATATTCCAGTTCAATTACTTAATATCACTGAGACATTTTAATTACATGTACGTTGTCGTAAATATTTACAGCTACTTCATAAACACTTACAGGAACGTCACAAACAATTACTTAGCTCTGAGCAACGAGTGACGGGAAGTGTTCTCAGGGGTGCTGTAAAATTGACGGGGGGGGGGGACTTTTTGCAGGGGGCCTGCTTACATGCAAGGTACATTTTTTATGAATGCACAATTACTGAGCTTGATACAAAGCAAGTGTACCTTGTGTTAATATGTTCAATTACTAAATGCCAATCAAATTACTTACATGGTTTATAATAATCTGTAAATTTGATAAAACACTTTTGGGTACTGGACACCATACTTCTTCTAGATGCTTGTAAATTAAAACATGTTGACGTTTTCCCTATCTGTAAATAAAAAAACTCTGGTGTATACAACCAAATATAGACTTTCGCTACACACAATATAACACAGTGTAACCAAATATAGACTTTCACAACACACAACACACAACATAACATAGTGTAACCAGATATAGACTTTCACTACACACAATATAACATAGTGTAACCAAATATAGACTTTTACTACACACAATAAAATACAGTGTAACCAGATATAGACTCTCACAATACACAATATATCATAGTGTAACTAGATATAGACTTTTACTATACACAATATAACATAGTGTAACCAGATATAGACTTTCACAATACACAATATAACACAGTGTAACCAGATATAGACTTTCATAACATAGTGTAACCAAATATAGACTTTCACTACACACAATATAACACAATGTAACCAGATATAGACTTTCACTACACACAATATATCATAGTGTAACCAAATATAGACTCTCACAATACACAATATATCATAGTGTAACTAGATATAGACTTTTACTAGACACAATATAACATAGTGTAACCAGATATAGACTTTCACTACACACAATATAACACAATGTAACCAGATATAGACTTTCCTACACACAATATATCATAGTGTAACCAAATATAGACTCTCACAATACACATTATATCATAGTGTAACTAGATATAGACTTTTACTATACACAATATAACATAGTGTAACCAGATATAGACTTTCACTACACACAATATAACACAATGTAACTAGATATAGACTTTCACTACACACAATATAACATAGTGTAACTAGATATAGACTTTCACTACACACAATATAACATAGTGTAACTAGATATAGACTTTCACTACACACAATATAACACAATGTAACCAGATATAGACTTCCACTACACACAATATAACATAGTGAAACCAAATATAGACTTTCACAATACATAATATAACATAGTGAAACCAAATATAGACTTTTACTATACACAATATCACACAATGTTACCAGATATAGACTTTTGCTATACACAATAAAATACAATGTTACCAAATATAGAAAAGCATATTGATCCAGCGAATGAGAATTCTTGTCGTCTGAAGTTACCGCTACTTCTATTCTTGTCGAAATATTTTTTCTCTTAAGATAGATAAAGTTTCATTTCTATCCATCTAGGCCAAACTGAGGCCTAACCTACATTAAAACAATTTTTGTTAAAGTGACATTTTGACAAATGTTATTTAGTAAATCTCTGAGATCGTGGTGTAAGTTGTTATTGAACCTCACCTATGAATCACCACCAAGAAATTAATAAAATTATCCCTGAACGTCTGATGACAGTTAGAAGTTAGAAAACGCATATCCAATAATAATTGGGTATTTGTAATTCCGTACCTGATCAAAGTAGACATTGACATTATCTCCGATCCCTTCTACTCTTCTTACACCTGCCACATTGATACTGGATAAATCGGGACTAAAGCCAGCTGGAATCTGTATAGTCGCCGTTGTCATGCCAGTTGGTTCGTCATCTAAAACCCTGGAAGTTAATGTTATTTAATATGAAATATAAGAAAACTAGAGGAAGTCCTAAAATACAAATCATTCGATACTGGGATATAATTGTCAACGTGGGTATAAACAACTAGTTGTGTTAACTGGCCTTTATTTCTATTTGTTTATCATCTAACGTATAAACATTAATATATCGTTTTGAATGAAATAGTTGTATTTACAAAATGTGAACAATATAACAATAGCGCCATTAAATTATGGTAATTATGAAGTCATAAAGGAATATCTTACTAGCCACACATGGATGATAAGAGGGAAATGAAATGAAATGGGGGTATAACGTCCTACTGTTCTGCTCTGACTGGGCTAATGAAGACGGGCATCCGCCATGCAGTGTGCTATGAGGGAAATTTTGCCCGGGCAGCGGCACTCTGGCCTACTCTTATATCGAATTCAAACTGCCAAGGGATCTTTTACGTGCACGCCAATGTGTACACGGTACCTTGGTTTTTCGTGTTGCGAATTGTGCGTTTGAAGCTACTTTTACTTGCACAGAGCCGCTTGGACGGTATCAATTGTAGCGGTGATACAAATATTACAGCTAATTAAAGATATGAAGAAGTAAATAACAAGTGAATGATGCGATGGGGTAAACAGGTAAACAGGGAAAAGGTTGGTAGCTGGAGTTGACAGAAATGCGGGAGTTGACAGAAATGAATAACCAGAAGAAGTATAAAGGGAACTGGTTACAATTAACACACATGAATGATAAGAGGGGAGTGTAAAGGAACATCTTACTTAGAAATGAATGTAAGTATAATGGAAGATTTTGTTGGCTGCGAATAAACAGAAAATAATAATAATATGAGGGAGTATAAAGGAAGAGCTTACTTGCAGCACGTCATGAGTGTAAACCCATTGATATTATCATCTAATAAAACTGTACTGACATCAAAATTTTCATTAACATCCTGTACTGTTACATAATATTCTACATTTATCTGTTAAAATAAAATGATTCATGAAACAGATTTATCCATGTAACGTGACATGTTAGATTGGTTTTTCACAAATATTCAAAGTTGGAATTTTCCAAATACGTTAGAATTTCACAAATACGTTAGAATTTCACAAATACGTTAGAATTTCACAAATTTTGAATAATTAGCCAGAAGATACCGGGTTTGATCCCGGTGTTGGCCAGGAATATTCCAGCCCGGTTTCCTTTGTTTGTGGTGCAGAAAATTCGTGTAGTCGGTGGGATGGAAAGAAAAATCGACGAATACAATGGACAACGTGTTAAAGATTGTTTCAATATAAGAGTAGGCGTCTTTATTAAATCCCATATCATTAGTTTGATTGACTTGGGTTATGAATATCTATGAGGAATAACTTACATCTAGATATCCTACACCAGATCCAGACGCTACAACGTTTAAATAATCATCCGCCCATTTGACCTGCAAAATATAAATATATACACGTGATAATCTTATACCGTGACCCATCATAAGATTGTGAAAACAAATATTCTTGTGTCGTGGTTGGTTTTACGGCTAGTGTATGTTTTACGAAGCGTCCATATTGAATTTAAGAATAGTCAATGGGGCCGTATGACGTCATCGCAGCCATCTTTAAATGGTGACATCACGTCTAAAATAGACAAACGATGTACGTGGAGTTTAATGTTGGCTGTACTCGATATAGGAGAGCCATAGGTTTTTGTAGAAGCACTTCACCCAACATCAAGACAGAAAGCAAGAGAGTGAGAGAGTGAGAGAGAGAGAGAGAGAGAGAGAGAGTCATTTCGTGACTTAGACATGGTTCAATTTTATTTCAATAATTCGCTTGGGCGTAGGGGTCTTTATCAGTAGGAGGAAACCGGAAGACCCGGAGAAAACTCACGAGGTTGGACAGACACCCCTACTCCTTGTCACGTTTAACCGAGGAATCGAAACGGAAAGCAAGGATTCTCACATGAATGGCACCAATTCCTGATTAACAAATGAATATTTTACCTGTGTGCTTTGAATAACTAGGGCGTTATTGTTGTTGATATTGAGCTGTACCTGGTCTGTGCCCTGATTGTTAGTAACGGTGATATCCAGGTTAAGATCTGCAGGTCGAGATATGGTGGCATATCGACTCAGAGCTTCAAGAGCTACAACAGTATCCTAGAAATATACCAACACCGTGTCTAAAACTTAAACATACATTATGCAAGAGGTAAATCTGCCTATTGCAAGTCTTTCGTCGTTAGGCCTGAAATGTTTTCTAAATTATTAATTAGACATTAATTAACTTATCCAGGCCATAATCAACTCTCGGTGGCATTGGATTTCTCCGATATTAAATAGATGAGAATAGTTCAGCCATACATTGATTTAAGCTAAAAATGGAGGAGCGAGACTTAGCTTCGAACAACCAGTACGGTGGCTGAAATTATTGCAGGCGTCTTGCCAAACCGTCAAATGCTAATATCATCGCTCGCAATAGAGTAATTTGAATGAAATTTTCAAATTATTCATTTTACATTATCTATTTTCGAACTATTATAACAAGAATGGCTAGCTCTTTAAATTAAATGTATCTTTAAATTAAATGTTCCTTTATTGGCCGATATTGTTTTATTATTAAACCACCAGATAAGTCCAATTTATTTCCCGAATGTCTGACATTTAAAATCATGAAACTAGACACGGCGGCCATTTTGAATACCAGTCGCTTTCAGGCTAAATCTATTTGTTATGGTCAGCTCACTTTTTGTCAAGGTCGCTGAGATGTAAATAAGGTTAGGGCACGTGATTGCTGGCGAGATTGTAGGTTAGGATTAAGAATTTGGGGGAGAGGTTAAATCTCCACATAAGCACTAACATAATTTTCTAATCCGTTGAATCTACGACAAAAATCATGGCTTAGTGATTTCGAATTATAATGATTCGATGACAAACAAAACATCGATCGATCAAGTACGGCATTGTTCAGGTGAAATCAGCTGGTGGATTTGCAGAATGCATCATACCGTACCTGCGAAGACTGGAAACCACCTTGTCCATTTCTGCGTGATACGACAGCCTTCATGACCGCATATCCCGTCTCTATCTCACGTCTTTCAACATAGGTCAACAGAAGATATGACGTAGCTATGATGTCATGTGAATCTATTACGTGCTTATAGTATGGAATTGCCGATTCTTTTTCCTCGTCCACGTCCAGATATTTCATATTACCTACATAAACAAAACAAAAATTATATTAGATTATATTACCTACATAAACAAGATATTTTAAATTACCTACATAAACAAAAAATATATTAGATTATATTACCTACTTAAACAAGTTATATTATATTATATTACCTTCATAAACAAATGATATATTATATTATATTACCTACATAAACAAAGATATATTATATTATATTACCTACATAAACAAGTTATATTATATTATATTACCTTCATAAACAAATGATATATTATATTATATTACCTACATAAACAAAGATATATTATATTATATTACCTACATAAACAAAGATATATTAGATTAAATTACCTACATAAACAAAGATATATTATATTATATTACCTTCATAAACAAATGATATATTATATTATATTACCTACATAAACAAAGATATATTATATTATATTACCTACTTAAACAAGTTATATTATATTATATTACCTTCATAAACAAATGATATATTATATTATATTACCTACATAAACAAGTTATATTATATTATATTACCTTCATAAACAAAGATATATTATATTATATTACCTTCATAAACAAATGATATATTATATTATATTACCTACATAAACAAAGATATATTATATTATATTACCTACATAAACAAGTTATATTATATTATATTACCTTCATAAACAAATGATATATTATATTATATTACCTACATAAACAAAGATATATTAGATTATATTACCTACATAAACAAAAGATAAATTAAACTATCTACATAATCAGAAGATATATAAGATTATATTACCTACATAAACAAAAGATAAATTAAACTATCTACATAAACAGAAGATATATAAGATTATATTACCTACATAAACAAAAGATAAATTAAACTATCTACATAAACAGAAGATATATAATAGTGGGGCGGTGTATTACCAAACCAAAGAGATAATGAAGACGCGCATCATCATAAGCTACAGTGTGCTATGCGGGAAATTCTGCTCAGGCAGCAACGTTTCTGCCTACCCTTTCGTCGAATTCCACAGGTTCTTTTACGTGCACACTGAACGGCCAGACACTGTTCGTTGCCAGGCTTTCCACCCTGCACCATTGACAAGGAGGAAGCCACGTGGGAAAATACCGAAGAGTCTGCTCCTGCCTACATCGTTACTGAACCGCATTAATCAGTCTGTCTTACTCACTGGGCCAGTGTGGCTCTAATATTCGAATCAGATTTACTGTAATAATAGCTAGACAGATGATGGTATTAGATAGATATCAATAGTTAACTAGACAGATGATGGTACTAATCAGATATCAATAGTTTACTAGACAGATGATTGTATTAGACAGATATCATCTGTTAATTAGACAGATGATAGGTAACCAGACTGATGATAGTATTCGACAGATATCCTCTGTTAACCAGACATATGATTGTATTAGACAGATATCATCTGTTAACTAGACGGATGATTGTATTAGACAGATATGATAGTCGAGCTTGACGGATGCTGGATATAAGTTATACAAACCATCTGATTCTAACTCGTTGGCTACACGAATCAAAGCGTCATCAGCTTGTTCACTTTTAGCTTTAGTTAACGCTAGAGCTAATATCGCCATATTGTAAACATCTTTTTCCCGCCTAGCATGGTCCTCGAGATATTGTGTCGCTTTCTGCGTTGCATTACCTAGCTTGTAGACATGCCTCTGAAATAAAAAAAAGAGCCGTATGTAATTAAAAAATTTGCTTGTGTGTAAGGGTCTTTAGCAATGGGAAGAATCCAGATACCCACAATGTTGGGCTGGTTACCATACTCCTTGTCTCGAAACGACGCTATATTTGACCCAGTGACAGACCTAATGCCGGACCCTCCTTTAGATTAGAGTATAACGCATTATGTTCGAGAGTAGTAGACATTATATAGATTAGAGTATAGCGCATTATGCTCGAGAGTAGTAGACATTATATAGATTAGTTTTTAACGCATTATGTTCGAGTGTAGTAGACATTATATAGATTAGAGTATAGCGCATTATGTTCGAGAGTAGTAGACATTATATAGATTAGAGTATAGCGCATTATGCTCGAGAGTAGTAGACATTATATAGATTAGTTTTTAACGCATTATATTCGAGAGTAGTAGACATTATATAGATTAGAGTTTAGCGCATTATGTTCGAGAGTAGTAGACATTACATAGTTAAAGGTACATAATACGATTAGTCATATATAAACCATATCTTACCATATCGGTGTAGCCGGGATTATGTGTTTCTAGAAGATATGACTCAACATCTAACAGAGCTATTAATACATACGATGTTAAACTAACAGGATTGCCCTACAAACAAACAACATATCATGATACAAAAATATCATTTTCTAATTTTAATTCAACATAAATATGGGATACAAGTGTTATAAAACCAAAGAAATCAGGTCGAGGACAAGAAGCTGTGATGGTTGTCGTCTATGAAGCAGTGTATGCTGCGTTCTTCTGGTTAACACACATCCCCATCCTAGTACATCCTAGTTCGACCAGGAAACCAAAAAGATGTCAAACCAGAGAAAAAAGCAACGGTTTGAATATTCTGATTCTTTGAACATGACGTTAACTTTGTATTCTATCTCCTACGGGATCACTTAACTTAACTTCTTAATTTGTTTTAGTAAAAGGAATTGAAATATGATGTTTCACGTCCCACTTTTCTGCACAAACCGGGAAAATGAAGACGAACATACGACATTCACCAAATTTTCGTTCCATGCAAACAACTAGACACTGTTCCTTGTCAGCCCCCCACCCCTCACCACTTCAACAAATGGAAACCAGACTGGAAAATTCCAAAGAACTTTCTCGACCAACACCAGGACCATCTGGTTAGTAAGCCAGCTCAGACTCACCGGGATCATCCGGTTAGTGAGCCAACTCAGAATCACTGGGGTCAGCTGGTTGGTGAGCCAGCTTAAAATCACCGGGGTCAGCTGGTTGGTGAGCCAGCTCAGACTCACCAGGGTCAGCTGGTTGGTGAGCCAGCTCAGACTCAGCTTAATAAGAAACTAGACACTATATTCCTTGTCAACTCCCTTCTCCCGCCCAACATCACTGAACAGCAGCCATGTTTACCATTCATAACGAGACCTAACTCCGGAGGACTCGGAGAAAACCTACGAGGCTGGACAGGCGACCCTACCCTAAATAGGAGTATATAATCAGTATCCAAGTGACGGGTAGTAACAGGTGTTCTGTGATTTTAGTGGGTGAATTTACCTGTAATTTCTTGTCTATAATGGTACCTTGTTCTGTAAAAGAACCGTCTAGGTTCTGCCGATCTAGAATCCATCTAACAGAATCCGCTGTGGTCGTATCGTCTATATAAATATACTCTTTAGCTTGTTGAAAACTTCGTACAACAGACGCTGTCAACCTAAACAAAATAAATTAATTAATTCTTCTTTCAACTGAGAACAGCAGCTGTTTTTACCATTCATAACAAGACGTTACAACACTATGTCTCAAAAACAATTTAGTCAAAGACGGCAGCGTTTCCGAAAGGAACACGTGGATGTTAACCAAATTAAATAAGGATTGATTATGTCCAGATTTTATGGACACGTAATATATCTCGTGAACAGACAGTCCAAGAATTCTGAAATTAACTAAGTTTGAAAATCAATCGGGTTTATCCTGCGGAAAATTGAACGTATTTATCCTAAACATAACTCCATTGATTCACACAAAATGTCGTTAAACACTGTAGCCCGTATCGCGTTCACATGTCAATTTTTGACGCACGTACAGTCGAACGGATGGACGGATGCAATACATGGACATATAAAATGAAATGCAATAAATGAAATGAAATGAAATGGGCTTTAAAACGTCCTACTGTTCTGCTCCTGAAGGCGGACATACAGTGTGCTATGAGGGAAATTTTGCCCGGGTAGCGGCACTATGGCCTACTCTTATATCGAATTCAAACTGCCAAGGGATCTTTTAAGTGCACGCCAATGTATACACGCGACCTCGGTTTTTCGTCTAATCCGAATGACTAGACAGCTTTCCTTGTCCGGCCCTCCGTCCTGCACTACTGTCAAGGGGAAACCACGTCTGAAAATCCCCATGAACTTTCTCGGTTAATACAGAGATCGAACACGAGACCTCTAAGCTGCGATGCAGTAAATCATTAGTGTATAGTATACCAGATGCTTCCAGCACCGTCCGAATCTCCAAATGGACCATAGGATTTATCATAGCGTTGATATGAAAGCTGTTTCTGGTAACCTGAAATTAACAGACACACGTGTAGAATAAAATACAAAGATCTGAAAAATGAAATAGGGTTTAAGGTTGAGTCTAATATAATACGGTAATATTCAAGTCATATTCAAGGGAGTGGGTGGGTGTTTTTTTTCGGATTCCAACAGCTAGGGGTTGCATGACAATGTCTATACGGCCAATGAATTGTTCTGGGTTCAAATCTACGCGTGAATCTTTAAAGCCCGGATGTGGCTTGACAGTTTGCGGGACTGAGGTAGAAATTGATTCCGGTCGTTCAAGTGGTATAGAAGCCGAGATCTTTCCCATGCACGTACAAGAAGCTTGGTAGTTGACGGAAACGACACATTTTTCTCTGATAATTACCCAACCTTGTCATGCACACACTTAGAAACAACAATTGCTATGTTAGCCTCTATTAACAGGCTCAATATTTACCTAGTTCAAGAGTTTCAATTATTTTTGCCTTGATGTTATCTTCCATCTGGTTGGATGCTTTCAGGTAATCCGCAATAAAAACTACTGGAGCAAATTTCATCAGATTTTGTTCACCACAGCCAGTAGGAAGCTGGATCAGATTGTCAAAATTATCTAAACTTAATCCCATTAAATCTCCTGAAATACAATATTTATTGATATATAAAATCATGGATAATAATCTAGGAAGTTATGGCCCGATATGCGCGAATATCGACAGGAACCGAGATCTGTCGGTTATAAACATACATTTCAAGTTTCATTAAAATCGGATAAGCATTGTGACTTCTAGAGGGTCCACAACCTTGGTATTACATACTTTTACACTATTTCAGGCAGTTTCAGTCGGATTTTCACAAAATTCTAACTCAACCATCATTAAAGTATAACGGTGATATATTTCCAAACTTGAATAACAATTTCATACATTGTCAGCTTTGTAATGTCGGGTATAATGCTGCAAAGATTACCTTTTGTTGTCGATAAGGTTTTCCGTGGGACGTGTTTGCACACGGGTTAACCTGAGGCGAAAATGCTGATCATCCAACTCAGTCAAGGAATTGTTTGAATGATCATCGAACCTAGTCAAGACATTCACCCAACGAACATTTACATCGAGTTGCAAGATGCTACTAAGCCTAAGAATAATGCCCATCACTAAAAACCATCAAGTCACTCTCCTAATCAAGTTCACTCATAACATCTTAGTTCAATTTTAGATGGTCCGAGCGTTAGATTGACACGAGGTGTGACCGTACTTACTTCCCTCCAGTTTTTGTCTTTCATATGTTTTAGAAAATTTGCCTGAGGTCTTACATTCTGATCAATTGGGGATACTGTAAGTATCAAAATATCATTATTGGATATTTTTATATAAAAATAATCTGTATTTGTCTTGAAAATCTTTCTGTAATATAACAAGCTAACAGCGTGGGATACATGACTGGGGCTGGATGTATACAATCATATAAAGAAATCTACCTGTGGCAGTGATTCTGATCTTCATGGTATCAGGAACGACGTCTCGTGGTCTGTCTAATGAAAGACGTCCCTGGTAACTGCCAGAACGTGTTGATTTTATCAATAAATTGTGGTTAGTTTCTCGTCGAATTCCTTCAGGCTAAAAATAATCAATGTATTTATGTAAACTGTTTAACTCGTACAATCTCCAATTGCTAATCGATGGAAAGAAATTTCGATTTTAGTTTCATGGCGGAAAAACGATCAATGTTATGATTTTGTCTGTTTCGCTAATATCGGGTTACGGTCAATGTTGCATCAATTCCAACAAATGAAGTAGGTTGGATGGCTGAATGGTTAGCACGTGCGCGCTGTATCATAAGGTCTCTCATCGAGTCAACTGGCGTGGTTTCGATTCCCCGGTTGTACGTGTCAAGGAGTAGGGTCGCCTGTCCAAACCTCGTGGGTTTTCTCCAAATTCTCCGGTATGCTCCCACTACTAAGGACACCTAGGCGCAAGCGAATTAATGAAAAAAAATTGAACCATGTGTTAGTCCCGAAATGACCTTAATGAATTAAACCGGTCAATCAGTCACCGGGGCACCAGATCTAGATCCAAACTGGTGCTTTGTTGTGTCTGTCTATTCATCGTTTAACGTCTGCCTGCACAATAGTGATATCACAGACTATAAGTTGCTGTGTTGTCGGTTATCAGGACTAAGACTAGTAATTATTTCCCCTTATTTCACGATGGACGCATGTAGTGCGAGTTTTTAATAGATAATTTTCCCTTATTTTTTTCTCCCCTCTTCTTACATTTTTTGGTTGACATTTTGGTCTAGAATTGGACACAAGGGATCAAATTTGCAATTTCACAAGTTTTGGGTAATACTGATGATATTACAGTGGAGGGATAGGTGGTGTAAAGTGTCTCTCTGCAGAGCAATCATTGTGGCGGAAGTGAGATTTTGACCCCAGTGAACATCAAATCCCCGCAGCAAAAAATCTAAATGGTCAACCCCCTACAATATTATTAAAGTCAATGGACAAATAATTGCTAGTCTGAGATCATCATGATTTATCAAGGGAGACAATTCAGCTTACCGTAACTTTAAGTTGTCTTCTCACAGCGTCGGCGGCAATAAACGAACTTGCTGTTACCTTGATATCTATCATACCACGTGTTTTAGGTCGGATTGGGAAATAGACTGATGTTGTTGAATCCTTCTCCACCTGCGATACAGAGTGTATGAATCATATTAGTTCAAATGTTTAGCTATTCACGTTGTTAAATATTGCGATGGTCTTTGAAAGCAGATAATACTTTCAGTTATTTTAAATCAATCAACCATTTGATTAAATAAATGTGTACTACATACAAGTAATGTTGAAGATTGTTCCTCTGATGTATCCGACTCCTCGCCATTTCTAGATATTTCTATGTTCGTATAATCTGCTGACTTAGGTAGAGTTACTTTCACCTGTTAAATAAATAAACAGGTAGTGTCACTTTCACCTGTTAAAATAAGTAATATAAATACGCCATACATTACTTCCATATGGGACACCGAGAGAATGCTGTATGTGACGCCGAGAACATCCTCTCGATGTCACATGTACCTCCCCTCGGTGTCACATGTTCCCTCGTCTCAATGTCACATTTATCCTCATCCTCTAAATGGCGCACGTACTCCCCCTCCCACCGAAGTGTGTCACGTGTACCCTTTTCTCGATGTCACATGTACCCCCCCCCCCCAATGTTACATGCACCCTCCTCTCGAGGTCCCACGTAACCTCATCTCGATGCCAAATGTGTATATGGGGCACCACAGGGATGGTACATGGGGCACCTCAGGGATGTTACATGAGGCACCACAGGGATGGTACATGGGGCACCACAGGGATGGTAAATGGGGAACCACAGGGATGGTACATGGGGTACCACAGGGATGGTACATGGGGCACCTCAGGGATGTTACATGAGGCACCACAGGGATGGTAAATGGGGCACCACAGGGATGGTACATGGGGCACCACAGGGATGGTACATGGGGCACCACAGGGATGGTACATGGGGCACCACAGGGATGGTACATGGGACACTTCAGGGATGTTACATGAGGCACCACAGGGATGGTACATGGGGCACCACAGGGATGGTACATGGGATACGCTAGGAATGGCACATGGGACCCCGAGGGGATGGCACATGCACAAGAACCTTTGTATAACTTCATGCCAGGAATGACAGGATTAAGGGTTAGGGTTAGGGTTATGTTATACAGTGTAATACCTTACCGGTACATCTTGATCTAAATAGTTAAACACAATAGCTTGTATAGTTACAACTTCTCCATATTTGACTGATGGCGGAAGATTTAGGCTAACAAAAAAACTTTTCTCGACCAAAACCTGTAAAACATACAAACTTAAATATTATCATATGGTGTCTAAATAAATATGGAAGTAAATGAGAAATATAAGAGACGTTTGGCAAGCGTAAATAGAGACTTTTGGCAAACGGAATTTTTCCCATCCGTATCACGTATACGTTGCGTCAATGTAGTTTTAGAGTTTTGGCAAATTTTTGCGTCTTATACGTATGCGGAATTTAAACTAAGATTAGGGAAAAGGAATGCGAAGCCGTCTTTAGGGCAGACAGTTGTTAATTTAAGCGACAGACTTCTCAGTCCCCTCGAAATGAATATTCTTAACAAAGGCCTTAAATTCATCCCACCCCCCACAATAACATCCATAGACCCCATCACCCAGGTAACCGATCGCTTCCAAAGAACTCTTTTGTTGACTTATTTTTTTCGGAACAAACCCGGCAGAGTTAAAAAAATTATTCACAGAAAAAGTCTTATTTTCAATAAGATTCGACATTAATATTTTTTTTAATAGCCCAGCGACTGTCGGGCGACTTCACTCCCTCCGTGAAACTGTAGGCTATAATAGGCGCTTGACTAGTATACGAACGCGACGCGAAAATCTGCCAAAAATCTAAAGCTACATTGACGCAACGTATCATTTATACGATACCGGTACGTGATACGTATGGGATAATTCCGCTTGCCAAACGTCTCTAGTGAAGGGTATTTTGTGCGTATGAAGATTATTTTATTATATTTCATACGCATCTCGTATGTTTCTCTCATGCACAATTAGCTAATTAGAAAGATGAGGATTTCGAAATAAACTCAATAATAACGTTTGGATTTTTTTTTATTAAAATAGACTCGGAAGAAGATAATTTAGAGTACAGGTAAGCTTTTTAAAAAAGTTCAAAACACAGATTAGAAACCGTGTAAATGGTAACATTTAAACACCTGACCGCCATTCAATAGATTTTGAATCTTTAAAAGGAATATAAACCTAAACATTGTTCATTTCCTTTCAGTATATACAAAGATAGATGGATTGAAATTTCACATCATCCTAACCCTAACTCAACCCGATAAACAAACCAGTGTCACCTAAAATATTGAATCCAAGTCGGAAAATACAACCAGTGATATTTTGGTTTTATTTTATTACTAAGTCAATTTGAGTTACGATTGAAACCGTGAAAAAATGTTCAAAAAATGCAGATACCGATCAGCGTCTTTAAAATTACACGACCTTTCAACAAAATTGCTAATGATATTTCTTTGTCGGAGTTTGAAATAATAATTATAATTTATACCTTGCTGGTGGCATCCGCTACACCCAAACCCAGTTTATTGTGGACTCCAAAACCACTGGCTACCCACGACGTGATTGTATCAGGCGCAGTAGCTTCTATAGACACTCGTCCATCAGCTCTGTTAAATATAACAAATTAAAATTATTATAACATTGATACTGGCAATGACGAAATACAATTTTGAAGAAGTTTTTAAACGTCTCACTTATTTGGGATATTTAAAGTCCTGTGAGAGACATTTTGCCTGGACAGCCGTGCTACTTTTATTACAATTTCCAACTGTCAAGGAGTCTTTAACGTGTTAACAATGTTTTACACGGGATATGGGTTTGTCGACCCATCCAAACGACTAGACACTCTTGCCTTGCGCACCGTCCTGATCATGCCTTGCCTATATGACTGCTGGAAGGAGAACCTGAGCTTGTCTTGCTCACCGTCCTGTATAACTGCTGGAAGGAGAACCTGATCATGCCTTGCCCTCCGTCCTATATGACTGCTGGAAGGAGAACCTGATCTTGTCTTGCTCACCGTCCTGTATGACTGCTGGAAGGAGAACCTGACCCTACCTTGCCCTCCGTCCTATATGACTGCTGGAAGGAGAACCTGATCTTGCCTTGCTCACCGTCCTGTATGACTGCTGTAAGGAGAAACTGGCCTTGCCTTGCCCTCCGTCCTATATGATTGCTGGAAGGAGAACCTGATCGTGGCTTGCCCTTCGTCCTGTATAACTGTTGGCAGGAGAACATGACAAAGTAAAGCGCCCAGTCACTTGAATGGGACGATAAACCGGGTTCATGTGTACACCACAGATGGATGGATTTTGATAAGATTAGGCGGAGGAAACGCCGCTCTCAGAGCGAAATGTTCCTTATAGTACATTGCATGGCAAATATTCATTGGCCCGGTTATTTCAGAAAAGTACTACAGAGTTTTTATTGAAACAAAATTGAACCACATCGACGTACCATAAACTGTCACTTACCCGACAGTCTCATTGGTCCACAGCCATGTCTCTGGGAAAATATTTCTAACTCGTTCAGGCTCTACTAGACCTTCTGTAAATGCTGTACTTTCAAGTGAAATAGACACGGGCCCCCGCCCGGGTGGTCCGGGATAACCGGCCTCTCCACCATACGAGTCATAGGCTAAAATTAGATATAAAAACAACATTATATAGCGTGATATTTTCACAGCTTGACAAAAATGAAATGAAATGACATGAAATGGGGTTTAACGTCCTACTGTTCTGCTCCGAACTGGGCTAATGAAGACGGGCATACGCCATACAGTGTGCTATGAGGGACATTTTGCCTGGACAGCGGCACTACGGCCTACTCTTATATCGAATTCCAACCTCGGTTTTTCGTCCCATTCGAACGACTAGACAGTTGTCCTTGTCAGGCCCTCCGTCCTGCATCACTGACAAGGGGGAACAACGCCGGAAAATCTGAATGAACTTTCTCGGCCAATGCAGTGATCGAACACCCGACCTCCAGGCTAGCGAGCCAGCGTCTTACCCACTTAGCCACCGTGGCCCCATCAGCTTGACATTCTAAACAATCATATATAGTGTGATATATCAACACATTGAAATTTTAACTTCGTTTATCCGGACAGACTCGACATTCATAATATCGTGGGTATATTTGCCATGATCGTTCGTGATCTTATTACTGTTAAGCCCAATCATATATTTTGTTGTCAAGAATTCAGTAACAGAAACTGGTCGATACAGTTTAAATGCATTAAAATAGTTCTATCAGTAATAAAAACACGGGAAAAAAATTAACTTGCTAAATTAACATTCTCGATGTCTATCAACAAACCCCTGTGAAGGAGTCACTTTGGTTCATTGCGTATGGCGCAGACTCAATGACCATCATGCTAAAAGTTTGTCAGTGGCGAAGGACAGAGAAGTGTCCCCTTATCAGCGGTATAGGACAGAGTGGTGCCCCCTTGCCAGTGGTAGGGGACAGTCTGACAAATAAAAGAGCCTTTGTATACATTAGCGGGCACGTAAAAGAACCCTTGACAGTTGACATACGAGGGAGCAGTCTCGCACACCGCATGACAATTAGCTCGATTGGTGCCGACAAAATCATTACTATGGCGCAGGACGGACTGGTAGTGATAAAGGACGTCCCTTGTCATTGGCGCAGGACGGCGTGGTGTCACCTTTATAATGGAAAAGGCCAGAGTGATGTCCCTTTGTTAGTTGTGCTGGGCGGAGTGGTGTCCCCTTGGTAGTGGTGGAGAACAGACAATCAGACAAGGAAAATCGTTCCGGAGGGAGGGGGGGGGGGGTATTGAAAAGGAGAGATTCGCCCTTGGCGTGCAATTAACAGAACCCTTGACAGCTGGCATTCGATGAAGCAGTCTCGAAAACATTTCACACAAAGCACGCACGTTTTTATTAAGTCGATTGGTTGAGAAGTGAAAATACGTCATTTCATTTCATGTACATACTGTTAGATGGTTTTCATTGTGTAGAGAATGTTTGACAGCTGTTGTAGAGTGAGAAGATCGTATTTTGGGAAGGAATATGACACTGGTTGTAGAGTGAGAAGGGTGTATTATGGAAAGGAATGTGACGCTGGTTATAGAGCGGGAAGAGTGTATTATTGGAAGGAATATGACAGTGGTTGTACAGTTAGAAGAGCGTATTATGGGCAGGAATATGACAGTGGCTGTAAAGACTCACGGGGTGAATCATATTGTCGTCTTGATTCACGTTGTTGATACTCTTTTAAAAATTGAATATCTGTCATAAGTAACACACCAGCTTCCTGTAGGTAAAAATAAACATCGAACAATCTGCAGACAAACACTTCCTGTTTCGATATTTTTCAGAGGAAATTGCGCTACAATAATATTTAAGGGAGCTGAATCTCTTTAATTCACGTAAATAATAAAGTATAAAATCCATACGGATAAGCGGAAGTCAGTTATTTTCACAAAACAAACCTACACGTCACAAATCGACTGTTTCATGATTTTTGCCGATAAACGATGTCTTGCGGATATATTAAGTCCTACAGAAAATTTAAATTAATTATTAATCATCAACCTCTTGCAAGTCATTATTACGTCTATTTCAGAGTTGTTTTTTCCAAACTTTAAGACAGGGTGCATATTGTTTTAATGCGGCATTCGGATTAGAGAAATATAATTCAATATGTCATACATTACCTTGAAAAATTCTTTGGCATTTTTAGCTGATGATTGTCGACCATAATGCCAGACAGGTTCATCTATAGGGTTAGGAACATTACTAAAACTTGATAGAGCTGACTTCACCTGCAAACATCAAACATCTCATTAGCACAATCGTAAAGCTGCATTACTTTGTTTCACGGTAAACGATGTAAAGATAAAGGTATGCCGACACAAACTGATTTCAACACTGGTTTAATAACATTTTAACATTATTAAGTACTTTTCGTACGGAGCCCGATAAGGGACGCCAAAAAAAAATATATAATAATAATAACCGGCGCGCGCCGGATAAATATTATATTTCTTTTTTGCGTCCCTTATCGGGCTCCGTATTTTCGTCTGTCTTGGGACTATTCATAAATAATGTCATTGTATGTCACAAGCCGCTCGTATGACCTCTGACGCGACCTTCCACTACAACCGGTCAGATCTTTATGTAGTGTAGGCCATTGAAAGTAAAAACAAACGAAACGAAATAAAGATCTGTATTTTAATCAGATTACGTACAAGCAACCATGCAACGTGACTTAATAACAGACCTTTTGACCTACCATGGAACAGTGCATACTGTGCCTATGACACTATTACATGAAATTATTTGCATGTTCTTACTGATATTGATAAATGCCCACAGGGCACCAGGCGTTTTATATCGACTATAAATGAGCGTATTTTACAAACCTTTTGAGGAGTCAGATCATTGCCTGATTTTACCAATAAAACACTCTGATCTACTGCCAGGAGGTATACTTGAGATTTGGGTTCAGCTGATACGATGAGGCTGATGCGGTCTTGAGGTGATACTGCTTCCTTATTAAAATCTACAGATACCTACGGGTAGAAAAACGACATTGTGCTGATAACAAGGCAAATGAAATGAAAAGGGGTTTTACGTCCCACTTTTCTGCACCGACTGGGATAATAAAGATGGGCATACGCCATGACAGTGGGGTATTCACCTTCTCCGAGCTGAATTCCATCTACCAAGTTTTTTTCTGAATGTACGCCAACGTGTAGCCAGTTTTTCCAGGGCCCACGTCCTGCACCACTCTAAAATATTCCCAGGGACTTTTACGGCGAACACCAGGAGCGCACCCTTGACCCCTGGTTACCGAGGCAGCGATATCCCCACTCAGCCACCTCGGTCCCAAGAAACAGTTGAAAACTAACTTGATCTTAGAGGCTTTTCCTCGGAAAAACATCAGCCATTTTATTCTTTTATTTATCTATTTAAAATACAGATGTGACGTCATCCTTTGATGTTGGCGTACCATTATTTCTAATAATGTACGGGAAACCTGCCAATCCTACATTATCTATACTAGATGAAATATTGGACTCGCGTGACGTATCTCATTGTTTAAGTTGTTTAATGGTAGCGAGCTAAAGACATTGCGTAATATATTGTAACAACACTCCGCTAACGCCTCGTGCAGTCAATATATTACTTAATGTCTCGCTCTTCACCATTAAACCATAATTAATGTGTTAGATTATTTTAAGGCTCACGCTGTCCTCAATCATGAAGCTGTTTGGGCTATAAAAATGTACAATAATAAGGATACAGGGCGTTCACGGCAAATTAAGATTTAAATCCGAATTTTAAGCAAAATATATTTATAGAAATATTACTTACTTTATTTTTAAATAACCTGTCTGTATTGAACGTTAAGCCATCGGCAACAACTTCGCCATTTTTTCTCATGTAATAAACCAAGATATAAGCCGAGGGCGACATACTGGGTGTAACAGGTAGGTTCAAAATAGCATTCGTTGTGTTCTGCATATCGTATTGTTCTGATTTCTGAACAGAGCCCCTTGCTTTAATCTGTGACAAAAAATACATCAATATATGTGCATAGTATTTTCTAAAGAGAGAGACACACAAACTAGGTCATTTCGGGACTAACACATGGTTCACTTTTATTTCAATAATTCGCCTGCGCGTCGGGGTCTTTAGCAGTGGGAGGAAACAGGAGGACCAGGAGAAAACCTACGAGGTTGGACAGACAACCCTACGCCTTATCACATACAACTGGGGAATCTAAACCACTTCAGTTGACTCAATGACAGCCCACATGATACAACCCACACGTGCTAACCATTTGGCCATCCAACCCCACCCCCACTCCCCTAGCTATTTTCTAAAAAATATATTCTGTGTGAAAAGTTGCTATATAATACTGTAGAGGATAATAATGGTATTTTTACCAGATAATATACCAACAAAAAATTATATTCCAGATAACTTTACTAGATGATAACTAAAGAGACGCTTATGTCGCCCTTACGATTCGATGCGATTGTGGGCAACCGGGGCTGTCTACGAATTATCTTGCCGGCCGCGCACGTTCGGGTGCAACTAGGTGCAACTACACGTACTTGCATGTGGACTCTTAGAGAACTTATGTCGACTGCTATCGTGTGCGGCTGACTCCGTGACCACCAAACTGGCGACACTATCGCCTAAGGTTAGCAATAAAGTTTCAAAAACCTTACTCTGCGCGTATTTCTGTAAATAACAATTCTGTTGTCCGAACGCTTTTGAATAATGACCTCAACTATGTAGCTACATGACGTAATAGGGTCCCGGGGAAAGCTACGAAATACACCGAATACCTAAACATTCCCTCAAAACTAACTGCATTCTGGTGAAAAACCACTTATGTCGCTGCAGCATGTGCAACTATTTATTTTTCTCGGTCACATCGGATGTTAACACCACTTATGTCGCTTTTTTCATGCAGCTCTCAGTCGCATCCAGTTGCATCAAACTCAATCTTACATAGCTCAATCCAATCCAAGCCCCCACCCCCACCAAAACACGCCGGAACCCCATAGTACAACACACCATGCACAGGCTAATAAAAACTATAACATAATATACATGTTGCCATGTATATGTAGTGTATCACTAACTTACTATAATACAATGTACCAATAACTTACTATATAATATAATGAAACAATAACTTACTATATAATATAATGTGCCAATGACTTAGTATATAATATAATGGACCAATAACTTACTATATAATATAATGTACCAATGGCTTCTGTAGATCGTATTTCAAATTTCACTGTTCTATCAATCTGAAACAAAAGTCAATCACCCGATCAACAACATTTTCATTTGACAATCCACTATACCTTTCTATGGCTATCATGTATTGCAGCTTGCCCTGACATAATCTCATTTTAGTTCAATCATGTATTTCAGCTTGCACTGACATAATCTCAGTTCAATTCTATCATGTATTTCTGCTTGCCCTATCATAATCTCAGTCCAGTTCTATCATGTATTCCTGCTTGCCCTGGCATAATCTCAGTCCGGTTCTATCATGTATTCCTGTTTGCCCTGACATAATCTCAGCCAAGTTCTATCATGTATTTCTGCTTGCCCTGACATAATATCAGTTCAATTCTATCATGTATTCCTGTTTGCCCTGACATAATCTCAGCCTAGTTCTATCATGTATTTCTGCTTGCCCTGACATAATATCAGTTCAATTCTATCATGTATTCCTGTTTGCCCTGACATAATCTCAGCCTAGTTCTATCACGTATTTCTGCTTGCCCTGACATAATCTCAGCCAACTTCTATCACGTATTGCTGTTTGCCCTGACATAATCTCAGTTCAGTTCTATAAAGTATTCCTGCCTTGCAATGCCCGCAACTAAGCCGGGGGGGGGGGGGGCTGCAAAAATTTTCGCCTCCTCTGTGAAAAAATTTTCAACCATAAAAAAATAGATATACATTGTCCATCAATTTCACAGCACCCCTGAGAACACTTCCTGCCCCCTCCACCATGCCCCCTCCCGCCCCACCCCCTCGTTGCTCTGGCCTAGTTACGGCCCTGATGCTTGCCCTGACATAGTCTCAGCCTAGTTCTATCACGTATTCCTGCTTGACCTGACATAATCTCAGCCTAGTTCTATCTAAATATTCACACATAATGAAAAGTGTCGTCATGGTCGGTGCTGAAGGTCAATTACTTGCAACTCCCACCCCATTCTCACACCTATTCCCTTACCCACAACTCTGGCCAGTCTACGCAGCAAATTAGTACGTTAAAACCCATTTCATTTCATGTCCATTTGCCGATGTTTTGTTTAAAAATATAAACCTCAAAAGATTTGTTTTAAATTTCAATAATACGTACTACACCAATCTTCTGTTTTCATTCTAAATTAGAAACAAACATTGTTTAAAACTGTGCTGGTCTGTCACCCTGATGACAGCCCTATGGAAGCATTCTCCCCAGGTTGTTGTGTAATCAAGGATACTACTTGTGCCATAATTTAATCATGACACCGACGACGAAATACTGTAATGTATGATATTAGGGCGTAAACTATTAATATAATCGAAGGGGTTTTAATTACTTTTCATATGAAATGTCTTGAAAATATTCTTAGTTCTGCTACCTTTAATACCACCCCAACTTACCTTTGATACAGATCCATCGACAAATGTTGAAATCTGAAGAAAGTTTTTACTTGGGGATGAAGCCGCATAAATAAATAGGTCTACACTTATATCATTATACCACGCCTACAATACACAATATATAAACTATTATATCACGCATGTAATACATGATATATAATATGATATACAATATTTATAAACACATGTAATACATAATGTATAATATCCTGTAGTACATAATATATAAAAACCTGTAATACACAAGATATAAACACCTGTTATACATAATATATAATATCCTGTAATACATAATATATAAACACCAATAATACACAAGATATAAACACCTGTTATACATAATATATATTATCCTGTAATACATAATATATAAACACCAATAATACACAATATATAAACACCTGTAATACACAACATATAAACACCTGTTATACACAATATAACAATTAGTAAATAGAACAAATAGTAAAAATAACAATTAGTAAATAGAACAAACTATCATTTTGTAAAATGACATTGATCGTAACACAAGTTAAATAGTACGATTACACAAGGCCCCTCATTTAACAATGTAGGGTAAACGAATGCCATACTTCGTCGATCATTTTGAGACTATCTTTTTCTATGGTTACATGTAAAGGGGGGGGGGGGGGGTCAAACGCAAATCGTTGTCCTTCCTACCCTTCTTCTTCTTTCAATTCCAAATACCTCGTGAAGTTTTATGTACAGCCTGATCAAATAAACCGGTTCTATTGCTGGGGCAGCATCAACACCCAAACCTCATTAAAGGTGTTATATCACACATATTTGAAATACCTATTATCACTCGGCAAACCTCGGCAGATTCCGTTACTATACATCTATCCTCGGCTGTATGACGGTAAGTGATATGTACCTACGCATATACAATTGCGATGTGGCACCGGTTTACTTATTAGGAAAACGTACCGCTTTTAAAAAGAAGTTATCAAAGTTGTCCTTGTTTGAAGAAAATCGGATAAACTTGAAAGAAAAACAGCTTCAGACTTTGAAATATTTGTATGATAAAACATTCTTCAAAGGTGTCATTATGGGCAACGCCGTTGGTAATCCGGAAACTTGAAAGTAGTTCCAATGGCGGACTTCGTCATACAGCCGAGGCTAGATGTAGGGTACTGGAATCTGCTGAGGTTTACCGAGTGGGCCTATTATAAGAGAGCTTTAATAATAAGACTTTAAAGCTTGAAATTATGATATATACCAACACGTCGCTGTGTGTTGTCATGGATCAAAAAAATAAATCAAATTAAATAAAAAAAAATATATTACTCTCATTTTGATCTGTGTGGTATTCCTGGGAACTTCTTCAATAGCAATCTTGGCCACACCGTCATTGGATGGGATCAAAGATTGGGTTGGTAAGTTGTACGTTCCTTGAAACTGTGAACATGCATAACGATCCTGATTCGACACTGTGCGTGTAAAATCGACGCACGTGAATACTTCAATACCGCGTGTGCTATTCATGACGGGGACATCATCTTGGGTGGTTAGTTTTACCTGTCGATAAATTAGTATTTCATAAAAGCATTTTATTTAATTCTACTCTATTGGAATTCACATAGCTAACAATTATGTACTTTTAAATATCTAGTGATGGTTTCGTATACATATGTGGCTGATATCTAGTGATAGTTTCGTATACACATGTCGCCAATATCTAGTGATAGTTTCGTATATATATGTGGCTGATATCTAGTGATAGTTTCGTATGCATATGTGGCTAATATCTAGTGATAGTTTCGTAAACACATGTGACTAATGCCTGAAAGTAAGGATGAAATCCAAGTGCTAGACTTTTAAGGTTTCATATCATACTGCAATTTATGCGTGTAATATCAGTGTTATTACACCACATTTATTGTCAAAACTGACATAACTAATTCACTATCACCCAATTACGATTCTCTCAGCGGTAAATAATCAAAAGCCTCTACATGTTCAGCCCATGTCTCACTGTATTTGGTGGGACGTTTTGCTTTTCTCTATATCTTTGGTAGGGTGTTTCGTTCATGTCTCTATATGTTTCGTTGAATGTTTCGCTCATGTTCCTATGTATTTGGTTTATATGTGTGCAACATTTCGTTCATGCCTTTAAATGTTTGGTTCGACATAACACTGATGTCTCTAAATGTATGGCGGGGCGTGTGGTTCACGTCTCTAAATGTTGGATGTGACGTGTGGTTCATGTCTCTAAATGTTGGATGTGACGTGTGGTTCATGTCTCCAAATGTTTGATTGGAAGTTTCTCTCATGTCTCTAAATGTATGATTGGACGTTAAGCATGGTCTATACTTACATATGCCGTATAAGGTAGTCCCGGTTTAAAGGTATTAGCACTGGTTGATAAAAACGATAGTTTGTACGGCTTAGAATGAAACGTGATAGATTCAGTCCCGTTCAGAACCTTTCCTGTGTTTTCCTCAGTTACCCTAGCAACGATATTGACGCTGTACAAATCCGACCATTGACTGGAAATTTTCTTCAAATCCGCAGTAGAAAGCGTAAATTTGGCTTCACCATTTATCTTGAAAATAGAAAAAAAAGCAGGGATAAAAAAAAACGAGAATTCCTATATTTGACTGACCAGGACGAATTCGAAAGCAAATCTTGAGAGCAAACAAAGATAACGTTCTATTTTGCAGTGGGTATAATATCTGGGTAAACACAGGCAATAATTATTAGGGGGCACAGTGCTTTTTTTTAATATAATTTTCGTTGTATTTGACAACGTACCGGGAAAACCTGCTGCAAATATCTCTCCTCCCGACCACAAGAATTTCTAATACTGCCTTTATAAGCTCTTAGATCTACCATTCCTTCAACATCTTTACCAAATGTATATCTGAAATAAAACAAACAATCAACCCATCAACATCTTTATCAATTGTGTATTTGAAATAAAACAAACAATCATTCCTTCAACATCTTTATCTATTGTATATCTGAAATAAACCAATCAATCATCTTTATCTAGTGTATATCTGAAATAAAACAAATAATCATTCCTTCAACATCTTTATTAATTGTATACCTGAAATAAAACAATCAATCATTCCTTCAATTTATCAATTGTATATCTGAAAAAAAAAAACAATCAGTCATTCCTTCAACATCTTTATCAAATGTGTATCTGAAATAAAACAATCACTCCAATTGTGTTTAAACAGTGAAATCGTAAATCATCTGAACAAAGAAATGAAATGAAATGAAATGGGGTTTAACGTCCTACTGTTCTGCTCCTAAACGAGGCTAATGAAGACGGACTGAACAAAGAGAGTTTGCTGTTGCCGACGCAGAAATATGAAGATCACTTCCAGCTGAACCGTGGTTTTTTTTTTACTCCTTTATCAATCGGGGAGGGGGGGGGATTAGATGGCCGAATGGTTAGAGTATGTGCGCTGTCATTGAGTCAACTGGCGTGGTTTCCATTCCCCGGTTGTACGTGACAAGGAGTAAGGTCGGCTGTCCAACCTCGTGGGTCTTCTTCGTGTCCTCCGGTTTCCTCCCACTGCTAAAGACCCATACACCCCAGCGAATTATTGAAATGAAATTGAACCATTTGTTAGTCCCGAAATGACTTAGTTTGTGTTGAGTTGAAGTTACCCCCCCCCTCTCCCTCTCTCTCTCTCTCTCACTCTCTCTCGCTCTCTCTCTCAAAAACTCACCCTTTCAAATTTGTATACAAATATTAACAAAAGCCTACTAAGCCTTATATACTAGTATAGTAAGCCTACTAAGTCCATTATAGCCTACAAAGTCTGATATACTTATAGTATAGTTATCCTACTAAGCCCGGCCCTGAGTTCACAAAACATTCTCAGACTTAAGTTAAGAAATATCTTTGATCTAAAACACAAAACTTTGCACATAGTTTCTTATAAGTGTATTGAGTGAATTTAAACAAAAACATTTTTATATTGGTTCAATGAATGTGAACAGTTTTGAGTAAATTGTTAACTAAAGTGTGAGAATGTTTTGTGAACCCAGGGTCTAGTATTCTGGTAAGCCTATACTTACTTAGCTTTCACCGTGCCATGTAATTCCGTTTCTGTTCTCAAACCATATGGAGGCAATTCAACTATTACTTCAAACTTGGGCAATTCTTAAAATGAATTATACACACATCACAACGTTGTACTTAGGTGAACATGGAATTATCTTTTTTTAATTTGTTTTTCAGTTAAAAACTAAAATAAGAGTATAACCTAGCTCACAACTCGCAGTGCGTGTTTTGGGCACGCACGGGTTGTAGGGTTTGGCAGGTTGCAAACCGGCAGCAAGAAACCAGATGCAAGTTTTGTAAATAATACGGGCACATTACTTATTGAAAGCGCGGGAAAGCGTTAGTCTGACAAACGTGCTCAGTGCGTCAGTAGTGCCTATGGAGTACGTCATTCTCCAATGCAGACCCCACAGTCCGACGCCGACTCATTGGCATCAATACTCGTTCACAAGAACTTGTATTGGGCATCTACAAGGATCAATAGTATTATTGTAATTGTATTACCCTCACCCACTCGTCTCAGATATCTTAATACGGATGAGTTTTCCGTCAATTGCTCGTACACAACAGTGATAGTTACAGCGTGTGGAAAACTTGACTGCCACCTCGAGCCATACGTCGGCAGTCTCAGAAATGCAAAATAGTTCATCTCTGTATTCCTGGTATATATAGCACGGCACACCTCAGGTACAACCATGCAAATGGTATTTGATACCACACGGAATGAAAAAAAACTCAAGTGACTTGTAACATTCACTGTAGCCAGGATGGCACCGTAGAAGATCGCAGACTGGCCGCAGAGACATTTGCTCGGCACATACAAAATTGTCACCCGGTTGCTTACAAATGGTTTCCGAGCTACCAAAAACCTTCGAGCAGTACGTGTCAAAACACGTACGGCGGTTTGAGAGCTAGGCTTTAGATCCGTCGATCAAAACAAGTATTGACGTTTAACACACTTCTTTGAAATTGAGTACATTTCATATTTCTGTTCTCTCTAACCTATTAGACACAGTTTATCGTCCTCTAAACTTAGGACCCCAAGAATAACGGACCATTACCGTCTTAATATTGCCAGCCCAACACGCGAACAAAACTCGCCGTCACTGTGTCAGGAAACCCTAATGGTTGTTCTCAGTTCATGAGTCAGATAATGAGGCTACTAATAAAAGAAAATTTGCCTTGTGGTTCGCATGGGACAAACATCCGAAACAAAGTTGTGTACACGTTTAAATGTACGTAAAGGACAGATAACACTTGGAAATCGAAGAAGACTAGCCAGAAACGTCGCTGTCGCACCTTGCACGGCTCACGTAGCTATAGGAATAACAATTAACATGTTTGTCTAATAGGTTCTCACTGGCGTGCGACGCGTTACGATAGGCTTGTCTCTATTAAGTCCACAACCTGGTACGTGCAGATGCTACAACTGACTTCAATATATGATAAGACCTGATAGGATCACCACGATTACTCCACGATTAATACCACGAATTCAGTCGTAGAACGAATCGTGATAGTATGAACCTAGCATTAAAAGAACCGTAGTTGTGTGCTAGACATATACTATGCCACTCTATATCCGGTCCAAATTGTTACGTACCGTATTCCTGTACTGTGAAATGTTGGCTCGTGGTGTAAGCATCCTAAAATAAATAAATAAATTGTACTGATGACGTAATTCTTCCCATGACATGTGCACTGTTAAATCACTTCAAACAATAAAAAACTTTGAATAAAATCAAATTAGTTTGACGCAAATAGATATAACGCAGAGGGTTTCCTTGACGTGGTGTGTCCTATACCACTGGTCTTATTGACCAAACAATGTGACTGCTGTGGTATACGGACACAGATCACCAAATATTCCTACGTCGAAACAAGGGCCAGAGCTATTTTTAGTCTTCCTCTTGTTTACTTGTCTCTACTTCCAGCTTGTGTATCTCAAGTTTTTCATGAAGAACCTCATACGTGCTTTTGGGCAAGAGGTTGCCACATGTTGCCCCATCTGTGGTAGAAAGCGTTCTACCCAACGAAAATTTGGGAAAAAGTTAGAGCCGGTCTAAGAGACGAGAATAAACATTAAAGTCAGTGGGGAAATAATTAGTGATCTGTGGCCATACAAGGCTATGTGGATATTTTAACAGGTCGGTGTATACAAGCGATCATGGAATGTTTATAGTTGGTGCGAAAAAAAAGTAGATTCCCATTTCAGGAAATATAACTTACTAAATCTGGAATGGTGACTTTGATTGACCACTCCCCTGATTGAGGTTGATCACTGAGTTGAAAATCTTTCGATACAACACCAAATTGATCATGTTCATTCAGCCATTGTTTAACTCGATTACCTCGTGCATCCTGGAAAAATAAATTCATTCAGATATTTATTAGAATGAATATGGTGTATCGTGGATCTATGGGGTGTGTGTGTGTTCGGTGTGGGGAGGTACATTTCTTCATCGAAAATACAGAACAAAGAGAAAATTCTAAAAAACAACAACCCCGAAAACTGATAAAAATAAATCTTCATTGTCTTGTGAATATTGTACAGTCTAAGGATGATACCACATACCTCGTAACATTTTGTTCATGATTCTCTCGAAAACTACATCCGAATCAACCCACTTATTGTGCGTAGTTTCTCTAATTTATTCAGACCTTTTCAAATTCAACAAAGAAATGTCTGGGACTTTTTTACTTAAACATAATGATAAATAATGTCAGATTCTAAATGTAGTTAGGGGGGTGGATGGCCGAATGGTTAGCACGTGCTGCGCGCTGTATCATAAGGTCTGTCATTGAGTCAACTGGCGTGGTTTCGATTCCCCGGCTGTACGTGACAAGGCGAAGGGTCGCCTGTCCAACCTCGTGGGTTTTTTCCGGATCCTCCGTATTCCTCCCATTGTGTTAGTCACGATCTCTCTCTCTCCCTCTCTCCCTCTCTCTCTCTCTCTTTGAATTAATAAATAATGACTTACTATAACATCGATATTGAGCTTGCCTTTATAGGGCTTCAGGTCGGGGAAAATAGTCAAAACACGGAATTGCACTAAACAGAAAATAAACAAACAAAAACTACATAATATTATTAATATTATGGTTAGGTACATGTTTAGCGATAGAAGTTGAAACTTACTTCCGTACATCATGTACATCTATGTTATGAGAATTTTAAAATTCCTATTCTATATAATTATGTCCTGTGTATTACATATAATTATTACTGTATATTCCATATTATTATTACCGTGTATTTCATATTATTATATCCCATGTATTCCGTATAATTATGTCCTGCCTGTGTGATCCATATTATCGTGTCCCGTGTATTCCATATTATTGTGTCCCGTGTATTCTATATAAATATGTTTCGTGTATTCCATATTATATTTACCGTGTATTTAACATCTGTAAAATGTGTATAATACTTCAATATAATACATTCTCCCGTGTATTCCATAGAACTGTGCCCCGAGCCCCATGTATTCCATATAATTATGTCACGTATATTCCATATAGTTATGTTCCGTGTATTCTATATAATTGTGTCCTGTGTATTCCATATCACTATGTCCCGTATATTCCATATAATTATGTCCCGTGTAATTATGCCATATAATTATCTCCCGTGTATTGAAAATAATTGTGTCCCGAGTAGTCCATATTATTGTGTCCTGTGAGTTCCATATAATTGGGTCCCGTGTATTCCATATAATTATGTCCGTATATTCCATATAAATATTCCAGTTTATTTCAAGGAATTGTGTCCCGTGTACCCACCTGTTTGTCTGCCTTTATACATTGCTTTATCTGTTTGTACCAGTGTGGACACCTGTTGATTATGAACTCTGATATTCTGCTCCATCTCCAACTGGAGTCCCTTAGTTGCTCTGATCTTTAAACGATATGTTCTGGCCGCCACAGCATTACGAGGAAGCTATTTATATAATAAATATACATTCACATATGTTAAAAATTAACACACTTATATGGACAGCTGTCTAGTCGTTCGAATGGGACAAAAAAAACGAGGTCCCGTGTACATATTGGCGTGTACGTAAAAGATCCCTTGGCATTGGAATTCGATATAAGAGTCGGCCGTAGCGCCGCTGCCCTGGCAAAATTTCCCTCATAGCACACTGTATGGCGTATGCCCGTCTTCATTAGCCCAGTTTAGGAGCAGAACAGTAGGACGTTAAACCCCATTTCATTTCATTTCATTTCTGAATTTTATTAACATGCTACGCTTCAATACACATACAGGTATCGAAACATATATATTGACACCAAAAACAACTACTTAATCGAAATCAGCCCATCGTCCATTTTTTGCCACAAGTAGAAGCAATATTGGAAATATGCTAAATATGTAAACATGTGATCATTTTACAAGGTTGTAATAATTGTTTGCTTGATAACGATACCTGTATGTGTATTGAAATGTAACATGTTAATAATAAAATTCAGAACTAGTATATCCATATAAGTGTGTTTATTTTAGTATAATATATTTCTATATATATAACATATGTTAGTTAGAAGGTCATTAAACGTTATTTCCAGACCGTGGCATTTCCAACGGCTCTTTATCGATTTACAACTGCCAAGGGTTCTTTCGTGTGCACCGCATTACATTATATTATATATCAATATGGCCTGAAGAGGTGTAAGAGAACGGAAAACGTTAGCCATAAACATGTGTTTATTTCTTTTTTTCAACGTAATTCTATATATATTGCTCTGGAGGGTAGTTAAAAAAAACTTATATAGATATATATATATATATATATATATATATATATATATATATATATATATATATATATATATGTCTCACCTTTAGAGTTAAGCTTCCGGGTACTCCTGAAATTCAAAGATGGCGGTAAATAAAACTATTCTACTTGGTGCAAGGCAGTCGTAACTATGTAAACTGTCACACCATTCTAAATTGTGACAGATTTCCACATGATGACTAAGCCGAGTAATACCGGTGTTTGGTAATGAAATAACAAAAACTCTTGATCCAAACTGATGAGCTACCCTGAATTTCTATTGAGTGAGCATCTTTGAATTAATTTCGATCGGTCTACTCTCATTCCACTGGTGCATTTACAAGGTTCCAAACTGATGTGCTGCTCTGAATTTCGATCGCGTTGCCCTCCTTTCTCTAACTCATTGCGTCAACTGCCGTGGTTTCGATTCCCCGGTTGTACGTGATGGTCGCCTGTCCAATCTCGTGGAGTTTTTTCCGGGTCCTCCAGTTTCCTCTCACTGCTAAAGACCCCTACGCGCGACCGAAATATTGAAATAAAATATGACCATATGTTAGTCCCGAAATGACCTAGTTTGTGTCGAGTGGACGTTAAACCCCCTCTTTTTTCAACATAATACGTCGATCATTTTGAGACAAACATATGGCAATTGCCATTTCAATGTTGATGCGTGTAATAGCTCTCTCTCTCTTTCTCTCTCTCTCTCTCTCCCCCCATTTCTCTAACTCCCCAGGGCGTTTGCAAGTTTTGAAACTGAGGTGCAACTCCGAATTTCGAGATATGTTACCTCTCCGTCCTCTGACCTGTAGAGTGTTTACAAGCTTTCAAACTGACTCTGCATTGCTCTCCGTTCTCTGTAGAGTGTTTACAAGAATAAAGTAGATTTACCTGAACGTTGACATTACACCTTACCTTGCTTGAACATCTGTCTGTTTCCATTTCGTACATTACGCGTCTGTTTAGTACCATTGTATACAATTTCTACTATTTGTGCTCGAACCTGAACTGGTGCCGATGCATTTAATATATGTACACCAACATTATATTCTTCTCCACGTACAATAACACTTGGTGCTGTTATAAGATACGTACTGAAATAAACACATCGTTATAACATTATAATCTTCTCACCCGTATTGAAATAAACACATCGTTATAACATTATATTCTTCTCCCGTGCTGAACTAAACACATATGTATAACATTATAATCTTCTCGCGTGCTGAACTAAACACATATGTATAACATTATAATCTTCTCACCCGTACTGAAATAAACACATCATTATAACATTATACTCTTCTCTCCAGTGCTGAAATAAACACATCGTTATAGCATTATAATCTCTTCTCCAGTACTCAAATAAACACATCGTTATAACATTATAAGCTTCTCTCCAGTACTGAAACAAACACATCGTTATAACATTATAATCTTCTCTCCAGTACTGAAATAAACACATCGTTATAACAATATAAACTTCTCGTAGAATAACATCGTTAATATTAAGAAATAGGGAGACAAGACTGTCACAGGATCTCTGATATACATGGGAGCTCGGCCGTTTATCCCATTCGAACGACTAGACGATTTTCTTTTTTAAGCACTGTACCACTAACAGACTAGCAATTCCCTAGGATCGAACCTTGGAACAAACAACGCAATAAGACACGCCGAGAGGACATCGTGTAACTATGTATTAATGATAACAAACACCAAACCAGGGTTAGGGTTACGGTCATTTAGAGACTAACAAGTTGAAGGAAGCTGTAATACGTAGGGGGCATCAAACGCCATTCCAAACCTGTAAGTAGAACAACTCAACAATACGTACAATAAATACAAGTGTTAGATTAAAGCGAAAATTTCATATTTTCTAAGAAAGTCAAAACATAATTATTTCTATGTCTTTTGCTCAATAGGTTGTCAACTCACTATCATACGCTCATAGGTATCATTCTCACACTTAAAAATCATTCACACCGGAAATAATAACACAATTACCTCCCTTGTTTTTCTATATCCCCCCCCCCCCCCCATATAAGACCTATCTTCAAACGTTTGAATTTGAAGTTGAAAATGGTATTTTTGCCAATTTCTCAACTGGCAATAGTGAATTATAGGATTAATAGGGTTATACTTTAACAAGGTAGGACTATTTATAGATACTATCTATTTTAAGGCTTTATTTTAATACATTTTAAAAATATAACTTAAAAATATGAAATTCTCGCTTTAATGTAATCCCCAGTAGGTGACTTACTTCCTAGTAGCACCCAGAACACCACATAACCCAAGTATTACCATAAGCCGTAACATGGTAACAATCTAAACTATCTGAAAATATAATCTCATCAACAGATGACCACTTCCAATATAATGATGTTTCCTCGGATTTGATTGATTTACAATCTGATTAAAGCACATATCCTATTTCGTTTCGTTTTTTATTGTTCAAAATTTCGATTTACTTGTCTTTACTACACTAGGATCTGGAAGAGTTGTAAAATAACCAGCGTGGGTAAATCACTAGATACGTCAATGCTGATTGATTAATCAATGTCTGACGTCATAGGTCAAAAGCCATTTGTAAGACCACTGACGCGACCTTCCATTATAACCGGTCAGATCTTCCTGTAGTGTAGGCCACTATAGTGTAGTATAAAAAACGAAACGAAATATAGCAGTACACTTTAAAACCTATTTCATTAATGAATAAATACCAATATAGAGCGAAGCTCTAACGCATCGAGCGAAATGCGCTGCTTCAGCAGAGCACCGTTCTGGTATCTTAGGGGTGTAACTACAATTCTTACAGTGATGGCTTAAAAATAATTCAGACCAGTATGGTGGCCTATCGCTATCATTCATTATTTTGTGAAAAAAAATATGTTAAACTTGAAAATGAAATGAAATTAAAATAAAAATTAATCTGAAAATAAAACTAAACTAAAATTACAAGCAAAAGTTAAATCAAATTGAAAATTAAAATCAAAATCAAAATCAAAATAAATGAAAATCAAAATTAATTTTATATCAAAAATGAAATGAACTAAAAGTTAAAATCAAAATCAAATAAAAAGTAAAATGAAAATTGTTCGTAACCTATCGCTATCATAGTACCCCATAATGCTTTGCGGCTTGACAGAAGTGACCTAGTTGAACCATGACCCGTTTTGGCACACGGATAGGTCACTCTTGATGAAATTAACGCTGTTGTCATTTGTCTGATGAGAAAGTTCATCGGTACTTTCCGGCGTGGTTCCCCTGGGTCAGTGGTGGGACAGGAAACGTGGCAAGGGACAACGTTTGGATGTGAAGAAAAACCGCGGTCTCGTGTACACATTGGCGTGCACGTAAAATTGTCCCACATAGCACACTGTATGACGTATGCCCATCTTCATTAGCCCATTCGGAGCAGAATAGTAGGGAGAGAGAGAGAGAGAAAAATGGGGTTTAACGTCCACTCGACACAAACTAGGTCATTTCGGGACTAACATATGGTTTAATTTTATTTCAATAATTCGCTTGCGCGTAGGGGTCTTTAGCAGTGGGAGGAAATCGGAGGACACGGAGAAAACCCACGAGGCTGGACAGGCGACCCTACTCCTTGCCACGTACAACCGGGGATTCGAAACCACGCCAGTCGACTCAATGACAGACTTTATGATACAGCGCGCGCACGCTAACCATTCAGCCATCCAACCCCCCCCCCCCCCCCAGAATAGTAGGACTTTAAAAACCCATTTTATTTCAATTATTTTTGACTGGCGTACAATCTTGGTTATGAAACGCAGTTTCCATATTGTATCTACTTACAATTCCAGGTTTGGCTTTCGTATTAGATACACGACTCAAAAACTGTTCACGTAAACTGACCTACTTCCACTTTATATTGTAAACAAGGTAAATAAACAAATACATATTGAATATTGACATATCAATTCCATAGGCTTAAGAGCCGGGGGGGGGGGCAGCTGCGCCCTTAACTGTCGGGCAATCTGACTTTTCAGGCAGACGTGTAAAGTGGGAAAAAAAATTAATATATCATCTAGTTGGCAAAATAAACTACCCGAAATCTAATAAAACACTAATTTTACTTTTCTTTTAATTGAATACCGTGAATTGACTATTAGTAGAGTCAAATTGCAGAATAACCCTAAAAAAATTGCAAGAAAACGTTCTATTGCATTTTCTTATAGTATTTGGTCAAGAGAATAAGATATTAAAAGTTCTATGAAATTGAGATATCGCAAAGGGTCTAAATATGACGTCAAACAAAATGGCCGCCACTGGACAAAAGTCCATTTGTCTGGAGCCACTATGCTTTATGCGGCATTTTTCGAGCATCGGGTAATTGTGGCGGTTAAATTATTCAAAATTTTCTCGGGGAGGGCAAGGCCCCCATACAGCGCGACGGCAGCCCTGTAAACTAAACGATTGATTGATTGGTTGTTTGGAATTCAGGTCAACCACCAAACTGGGCAATATTGGACCACTTTGAAGTTGCTGTATTCACGTCCGTTGGCGGCCGTTAAATTTTCAAAATTTTCTCCCGATGGTCGCGGCTAGTATGTGGACTGTAAACGATTGATTGGTTGATTGGAATTCAAATCAGCCACTAAAGTTAGGCTATATTGGACCACATTGAAGTTGCTGTATTAACGGATTGGAATAGCAGGCAAACGCTTATACTGTAAGCTCCGCGTATTCGGCTCTCGCTGACGACCGGCGCCACCGTCTATAAATGGGAATGTTTTCGGGCATTTCACGCCTGCGCCCCCCCCCCCGCCACCGCCTATAACATTCATTGGACCCGTACGCCTATGACCAATTCGTTGTTCAGAAGGAACCATTTGTGGAGGGAGGATTTCCTGATGCCTATAACGCCAGGAGTAACTATGGTGTGTTTCAAAGAAAGACTTAGTTTGTGGGAATATACTCTCAATCCATTAAAGGGCGCATAGTTCTATTCGTTGGAACTTTTAAAAAGACGAAAATGGGTCTAAGAAGCAAAATATTAATGTAATACTAGTGTAAAAAAGCAATTTGAATTTAATTTATTTTTAAAATGTTTGTTTTAATATATAATCAATTGTGTTTTACATTGAACGGAAATCGTTTGCGCCTTCTTATTTTATTCTATACGGTATTTTAGAATTATCATTCTGTCGTTTGTGAATCAGCCATTTTTATTTACTCCCGCATTCATTTTCTTCTGAGATTTGATTTTCCGAGTCCATTACAAATGTCGCTCGAAACAATTATTTCCATAGTACACTGCGTCGTGAATGGATTTTAAAATGTTCACCGTGTCTTAAATATTGGATAGTAGTATCCCATATTATCACGGCAAGATAACAACATCTATAATGATTGAAATGGACCAATATTCTAATTCGTGTATATAATTTCGAATATTATGGATATGAGTTAAAGGTCTAGCTCCTTTAAACTCATTGAAGCTACTGGTCAAACTGAAGAGTGTCATACGGAAAAGATTGTTTTTTTAATAGTAGACATATATCCATTTTTGATATCGATAATTTTGAGTACTTTTTCACAAACCAAGTCTTTCTTTGGAACTCACGGTAGAGTCTTGTGGCTTTATAATAGCGTTCTCGCATTACTTCGCTTACCCAACTAATCTGAACTGTCCGAACAGTGGGGTTTTGTTCAAATTTAAGGGGTTTCAATTACGATTCAAAAACGGCTGGGTGCATGGAGCGATCATTTGGAAAATTAAAATTTTACTACTGTTTAAAAAGAAAATAGTTTCGCATCGCTAACCTCGGCTGTTCTTTCACATATAAACATTCAGTGTGCTTTTATATACTAACTTTGCTTCACCTGTTGGGTCACATAAATATGAAAATAACTTGCTACAGATTTGCTAATATATTATATTATATAAAATGTTATATAGCCTGAAAAGGCACAACCAACATGTAATTTATTATATAAAAACCTAGAAGTACATGTGTATATATCATGATTCAAAGAGCTAAAAAAAATTGATTTGGCTCTGTCCGCTAAAAGGTTCTTTCTTTTCTAATATCTCTTTGCCTCGAATGATAGGTGGTTCCACATATCGGTAAGAAATCAAAACGGACAATATTGCGGAAACATACGGAAATAAGAATCTCACAAACTGTTTATATGTAACAGGCAACAAACTGCACTTTTTTTCGTCCACTTTGCGATGGGCTTTTTTCTCTGAAAAATCACAAGAAAAGATTCCAGAGATTGTGCCAATTTACTTGTTTTAGGCCATGATTTACGAAGGTCAAGGTCATGCATAGATCTTGGGTTCCGGGCGAAACCGGGTATCCTGCTAGTATTATATAAAATGTTATAAAATCTGAAAAGGCACAGTTAAGATAAAAATGTAAAAAGTATATTCATATATATCAAGCCGCAAAGAGCTAGAATGAATTTATTTCAGAATGGTCGGAAATAAGAATTTAACCAATTACACTTTTCTGTTCACTTGCCGTGGGTTATTCCTAGAAAATGGTCCATTGGTTTAGCATCGCTTCGCTCGGCAACAACCTCGTTTGCACCCCCCCCCCCTCCTTTTCAAAATTTCCAGTTAAAATACGGTAGCCTAAAACTGTGGCAATCTGTTCAGAGAATGTCCTAATCAAAGTTTTAAAGTCAAGCTCGGAATTGCAAGTAGATAAGATATGGAAACCTGCTGCGTTTCATAACCAAGATAATACGCCAGCCGAAGATAAATGCAATGTAATGAAATGGGGTTTAACGTCCCACTGTTCTGCCCCGAGTAGGTTAATGAAGACGGGCATATGTCATACTGTGTGCTATTTGGGAAATTTTACGTGCACGCTAATGTGCACTACTGTCGTACTGACAGGGGAACCACGCAGGAAAATTCCGATGAACTTTCTTGGCCAACGCAGGGATCGAGCAAGGAACCTCCATCGTTTTCCTCAATGATCCACTGTGGCTCCCTTTAAAAATAAAAAAGTACATTCGGAGGTTGAACTAAATGGTAATGTCTACATGTAGCCTACTTGGAGTATTAAATAATACGGGTTCTCTTTACAGCCGAAGATTCCGTTCATATCAGACAAATGACAACAGCGCATCAAGAGTAACCTCACAGAGTAAAAATACACATTTATTTTTACTATGTGAGTTACGAACAATTTTCATTTTACTTTTCATTTGATTTTGAGTTTAACTTTTATTTCATTTCATTTTTGATATGAAATTAATTTTGATTTTGATTTAATTTTGATTTTGATTTTGATTTTACTTTTCAATTTGATTTAGCTTTTGCTTGTAATTTTACTTTAGTTTTATTTTCAGATTAATTTTTATTTCAATTTCATTTCATTTTCAAGTTTAACATATTTTTTTTTATTTTATTATTTTTTTTTTCACAAAATAATGAATGATAGCGATAGGCCACCAAATAGACCAGTGCCAAATGATTGAACTTTTCATCTTGCCGGGCGGATAGCAGGTAATGCTTAAAATGCGTTTTAGAGTTAAAAATAAACACCTCTCTCCAGAACAGTTTACGACGAGAAGTGGCACGTGACAAAAACCGTTGCATGGACCTTTGCTCTTGGGGCCCCCCTACGTAGGATATCACGGCAGTAGTTAGAGCGAATGAAAGCTTTTTTTTGCCCTCAGTAAACATGTAAAGTAATACATTTCCTTTTCATGAGAAACTTCAAGCTATCGTAATTATTAATATTTTACAAAAGCTATTTAACCATTAATCTTTAATTGGTGTTATAAAATATTAATTTTTCCAGTCAAAGTAAAATCTATCTTAAAATATTTAGAATAATGTTACAAAATATTAAAATTTAGACACTTTACCCTTTTTTCTTCAGTGCACTTCACCCAACAACCTTGTCGTATACAACCCGTTTCCTATCACCGTTGTTTAAATACAGAATCTTATCTTAATTAAACAATTACATCTTATCACTAGGAACCTTAATGCGTAATGAGTTTTGAAAGTATCACGTGGTATATACAGCAGAGTATCAAGGTCATCTTTTAAAGGGCATACCTCATCTCTAATAGTATGGCTTTAAAGGGAATTTCACATCTCTAATATTATGGTTTTAAATGAAATGAAATGGGGTTTAACATCCCACTGTTCTGCACCAACTTGGCTGATGATGCATATACGTCACAGTATCAAGGTTATCTTTAAAGGGCGTATCACATCTTTAATAGCATGGCTTTAAAGGGACTTTCACATCTCTAATAGATTATCTTTAAAGGTGAATTTCACATCTCTAAGATTATGGATTTAAATGAAATGAAATGGGGTTTAACGTCCCACCGTTCTGCACCGACTAAGCTAATGGTGCAGGGTATAAGGAAAAGTGTGCTATGTAAAAGATGCCCAGGATTATTTATTGCCATAATATAACTTATATTAAAAGCTAACATGACCATATCCTCAAAAGTGAAATATGATATATGCGTTACAGTTGACTCTGAATGCATTTTGCTGTTAGGAGAATTAGTTGACCAAGCGGCTATTTTAATCTATAAACAAAATAATAATTGTGGTTTAAAAATATTCTTTCTTTGTAATTACAGACATGCGAAGACACTTTTCTCACTTGGAATTTAAGAAGGGTAAAGGTCGTAAACCCCTATTACACACATAAACATTGAGAGAGAGAGAGAGAGAGAGAGAGAGAGAGAGAGGTTTAACGTCCACTCGAGAGCTATTACACACATCAACATTGAAATGGCTATGGCAATTACCATATGTTTGTCTCAAAATGATCGACGTATTATGTTGAATACAATGACTACCCGGGGTTAACGTCCACTTCCATCTAGAGTAATATCGCAAACTGTTAACCATCCCTTGAAGTTATCATGTCGGAGATAATGTAGCGTGTAAATTACGTCTATTTTGTTTCGAATGTATTCGGGTTACCCAATGTAGAGTAAATAAACAAACAACCGTAAAGTCGATCCTGTTTGTTGGCGTGTGACATTATAACGCCAAACTAACATACATGTGATCACTTAAAAAAGTTACGGCTAGATTAACTGAATATTTGTTGATGGTATTCCCCCACCCGGCCCACATACACATACACACAAACTCAGGTCATTAATTGTTGAATCATTCATTTACAGGTATATATACTCTTCAAAAAAGAAACACAGTCCATTTTTCATCTTTTTTTATTTGAACGGGATCGTTGTTTCCATAAATCTTACTTGTTTTGAATGGCATTATGTAAGGATAAAAGAAATTCATTATTGGTTTTAAATGTAGGGTCACTAATTGTGACTGGTGATTCTTTTTTCATTAATTTGTTTTCGCTTGATTGCACCAAGACACATGAGTTTAACAACTTCGCAAGCTTTTCGCATGAAACCCAAATCTTATGCCTTTAAAATCTCGGGGTTCTCGGTTTCAAAATATATTGCACATGTAAACACCCAAGGAGCCAAGTGATGCCATATCTGAACGAAGACCAACGCATCAACGTTATCGGGCAGAAACAAGTTGCTGAATCCCAGGCAAATGTAGCCAGGCTACTGAATGTTTCCCAGAGTACCATTTCTCGCCATTGGGATAGGTGAGGACAGCGAAGTTCAACACGTGACCACCCAAGCTCAGGCCAAACAAGAGTCTCCTTATCTACCCTGGATCGTCACATCCGTTTACATCATTTGCGGATATGGTTCACAACAGCAACCTCTACTAGCAGCAATTCCAGGACGGCGTAGGACCTACGTGAAACCGGATTACGAGCCAGACGTCCCCGTTAGAGCTGTTGTTTTGAAATACTCCGACACCGTGAAATCCAACTTCAATGAGTTCAGACACACAGGACATGGCCACAGCAACGTTGGAGAACAGCTTGTTGAGCGACGAGTCGCGGTTCCTGTTGCAACGAGGGGATGGTAGAGCAAGGATATACCGACGACGAAATGTCACTATGCTTTTCTTTTTTTGGCAGAGTATATTATATATACATGGGGGGGGGGGGCGATGGCCGAATGGTTAGCGCATGCGCATTGTATCATAAGGTCTGTCACTTAGTCAACTGGTGTGGTTTCGATTCCCCTGTAGTACGTGACAAAGAGTAGGGTCACCTGTCCAACCTCGTAGGTTTTCTCCGGGTCCTCCAGTTTCCTCCCACTGCTAAAGAATAATTTTAAAAAATTGAACCATTATTTTAGTTTGTGTCGAGTGGACGTTAAACCCCATTTCTCTCTCTCCCGAAGCTAAAGTACAAACCATGATGACCATAGTATAAGTCGCGTTTATATGCGTGTGGAGGCGGTGGACTTTTAGAGCGGTCTGTCTGTGGGGGAAAGTCCATCAATTTTGGATTGATTCTGAAACCATGGATCTTTATTTCCGCCTAATTGTAACTGATGACAAGATTGCAAGTAAAAACGTTTAAGACGGTTTTGTTCGTTTGTGGGACTTGTGATGTTACAGACACATTACTGGGGCGTGGTCGGGTGAACTTTAGGCAAATCTGACTTCCGGGTAATCTGACTTGGGAAAACCCCAACGTTTTTATAGATTATATATTATTTACTGGAGTGAAACTTTGTATTAAAGTTCGACCAAGTAGTTGAAAAGCATATTAAAAGCCTCGTGTGGAGGGATAGGACATGGTCTAACATGAATGAGAGAGAGAGAGAAATGGGGTTTAACGTCCACTCGACACAAACTAGGTTATTTCGGGACTAACATATGGTTTAATTTTATTTCATTAATAATTCGCTTGCGCGCAAGGGTCTTTAGCAGTGGGAGGAAACCGGAGGACCCGGAGAAAACCCACGAGGTTAGATAGGCGACCCTACTCCTTGTCACGTACAACCGGGGATTCGAAACCACGTCAGTTGACTCAATGACAGGCCGTATGATACAGCACGCATGTGCTAACCATTAGGCCACCCAACCCCCCCTAATATGGATGAAATCTCGACAATGTTCGTTAGATTTGTAGAATATTTACTTCAGCTATAGAGATTATTCTATCTAGAAATTTTCAGTTAATAAACTGATGACCATTTCTTAGAACCGTCAGGGTGCTGCCCTGGTTATATACGTTAGAAGTTGAACGCACGACCAGTCGTATTAAAGGCCACCTCGAATTGAAATTTTTGTGGTCAACCTCGTACAAATTTAGTACTTTGATGATCACCCAATTTCATGTTTGCTGCGCTGTAAAGGAAAACTATCACGACGTTTAAAGGGATGGACTACAGATCACCACGGATTTAACATTAACGAGTCAGTGGAGAAACAAATCGTGGTCTCCATACGGAGACAAACCACCATTAATTTTCACCCTCTCGGTATTAAATTGTAGTTCGTCAATTTATAGCTATTCACTCTCTCCTGGCAAGGAGTAGAAGGAGTTGGCTCGCCTGTTCAACCCCGTAGGTTTCCTCCCACTGTGTTAGTCCCGAAATGACCTGGTTTGTGTTATGAAGACGTTAAATAAATCCATCTCTCTCTCTCTTTTTTTTTAGTGGTCAACCCCACTTGACCATTTGTCTGTAGTAAAAAAAAAGCCTTCAGCCCTACGAAAATTTGGGGAAAAGTTGGAGCCGGGCAAAGAGACCAGAATTAACATTAAAGTTAATGGGGAAATTAATGGTGGTCTGAATCCATAATCCATAATATAAATAGTTACCTCCCTTTAAACGCAATAATAACATTATTGTAGTTTGTTGCTTGCTTGGACCACGTATACGTAAAATACAGTTCTGTTTATCTTCAGTTCCCTTTGTTTGAAATGCATTCTATCTAACGAAAATGGTCATTTACAGAAAAAGTTAGGTTTGTTTCAAATTCTGCATCTGCTAAGACAATTTTGTGCTAAATTTGAAATTTTATACTTGACTGTTTAGCATACGAGGATAAATAGAGAATCTCTTACTCTTCTTTTTTGATATCAAAAAAATATCAACACAAGTCGATAAAGTATAGATTTAATTTTACTGAACCAAGGCTCTGTTTCCCAAAAACTTAAATCTCCTTAACGCCCCTCTCAAGGATGGTTTGTAAATTACACTTCTATTTTAATTATTACACCAACGCGGGTGTAATTTGTTTTGTTGGCTATTTATTTCAAGCCAACCATTTCTAAGTTCAGAAAACTTGAAATTGGCTATCGGTCTCTATGATAATTAGTATAGGGCGTTTAGCCCGACTCAGATTACATATAGACCGTCTCGCTTACATCGCTTCGTTTTACAAAGAAATTAAATTGACAAATTCCCATCCGAGTGATTCAAATTCCATTGCTCTTGGACAATTAGACAATCTATATCAATTTACAATGAATATAAATCATGAGGAAAAATCAAAACACATGCTTACAACTGAGCAATCTGATTAAAATACAGATCTATATTTCGTTTCGTTTTTTATACCTCTGATGGCCTACACTACATGAAGATCTGACAAGTTATAGCGATAGGTCACGCTAGGGGTCAAAAGACCGACTAATGACCCCATGACGTCAGACATTTGATTAACCAATCAGCATTGGTGTTACTAGTGGATTACCCACAGTTCCGTGAAAAACACGCCTAAAGCTCGCCGGAACAGACCGTTTCATTGGCTTATTCCCGACACCATTCAAAACAAGAGTTAAATAACAACTCTTCCAGATCCAAGTGTAGTAAAGACAATCAAAACGAAATTTTGAACTATATAAAAACGAAACGAAATAGGATCTGTGTTTTAACCAGATTGACAACTTAGCTGAATAATGTGGTTTATTCATTTATGCACCTCACATGAATTAAGAATAATTAATGAGGATATTGTACTTGGTAATATTTTGGAACATTTACGCGTCTTTAAGTGTATACACGCTAAAATAATCTATACTTTCCTCGTTATGATTAAACACTCTAAAATGAGTTAAAGTTGA